TCTAAAATTTGGTACAGAGTAGACAAAAATGAATGAGCCGTGGGCCGTGGTGACGTATGAATAAATGACATATCATTGGAAAGCGGAGAGGCGTGGCTTCATGACAAACTACATGGAGGTGGTGTATTTACCACTGCACTGGTCTTGTGATTTTGCTATATTTTTGTTTGTTGCGTTTTTTAGATACACAGGATTCTCTTCACCCATGAAAATACAAACGCGTTGTCGCATTTATGTCTTGTCTTAGCCCCATTCTGATACACATAGCATCTTTCTGTTTCACCTGAAACATCTCAGGGCTGAGAAGAAATGAGATGCCATGGTTTATCATGATGTCTTACCCCAAAGAAGTCAAGTTTCAATTATTTGTGTTCTCATACAGTAATAATGTGAAACTCTTTTTGAGTACATTGATTGTGGTTCGGACAATTTAAGTTAGTATTGGAATAAATGTACCCTGACATCTATATAAAGCGCGAGACCCATTTATTTCTATGAACAAATTATTGGAAAACACCTTTGAGTCTCACCTTTGCTCAAGTATCATTTCAAAGTCACTTCCTTGTAACGTTCTTTCCTCGCGATGTGACTGGAGACTGTCAACAGTCGATTGCCATCATTCTGATGTATCAGAGTCTCTTGCTGTGGATCCCACAATGAATTGCCCTTTTCGTTAAAATTAAATTGGGTTTGCAGACATGTACTTGTATGCATGTTTATCATTTATCATCCTCGAAGCTCTTCCAGGATGATCATAGTGTGTGAAAATGGCATGGTACGATTATAGCAAATAATGCAATAATACTTACTTGTGAGAGTTAATGGAATTGAAGAGGGGTCAGAAAAAATGATAATCTTTCATTGAGCCAAAACAGAGACGTAAATATTGTAATTGACATCAAGGATGTTTATAGAGAACACGACAATAAATCAATCAAGAAATATAGGATTGATGTAGCTGATGCTAGTCAAAATTGATAGAGAGTGGCATTTTATTAGTCCCGAGAATGATTGTGGGGGAGTGATTATAATCAGTTAATCGTGTAATTTATCGGTAAGATGGTGCTATGAACCAGTGAAATATGGTCCATTGATCCAAGCCTACGTTGTCCAATTTATCAATCGTCAATTCTACAAGACAGATTTCCGGCCGTCAGTTATATGACTGTTAAATATACGTCCAAGATTCAAGATAGAAAATGAGCCGATCCTATTTGGGACAATTATATTAAAGCTCCATTACTCAAAATATGTGAATTTATTCCATGAATGTAAAATTCTACAACATACAAATCTCAGGAAATCCATCCATCCGAGATGCGATTACGTCACATGCCGATAATTAAAGGATTGCAAGTAATGAAAGTTGCAATTATTAGTGCCATAACACCGTGTAATGATTACAATGCTCATAACAAATACATCAGTAATTGATCATATAGTTCATCGCTCCTCCAAAGATTTACCGATTCAGAACTTGACCTTGTATAAGATTAATGGATTCAAGGCTACTATATAAATAAATCAAAGGAATATCAGTTGAGGAAGATTAAAAAACGCAAAACTGACCAAATCGCTGTGTAATTCATTAACTTCAATTTAATCTTAGAGTACACGTTGCAAAGTGGAGCGTAAGAAGAAATCGCATTTACAAGAGAAAGTGACAGTTACATAGATTTAATATCAAAACACAAATATTTCGAGAAAAGATAAGTTAACGTCGTCCGGCTCATTAACCGTATTCAATCAAACCAGAATGGCACATTCTAAATCAAAGAACAAAGCAATCCAATGGTCACCAGTCTGTAGCAAGGGATGAGGCACTGACTCTAGGTAGCTTTGATGTTCAAGGGCGTGTTAAATCTTCTTGGTCCACCAGATTTCAGCTGTTCTTAAGTAAATGGACTCGGTGGGAATCAACGATGTGTAAGAATGTCGTTTATATTTTCTCACTGTGCGTATATTACTATCGCGATAAATCATGTCATCTCATTCATTCTCGCTGTGAAATGCCCAGCTACGGTATTTTAATATCAGGTTCGGTGATCCGGAGAGTTCGGATTCCATATTTCACCTATATGATAATATCACTTTATTTGTGTTCGTATTTTATGCAAGTAACAATAAACAATATCAAATGTCAATTAGTATGTATGTGCAGATATGGCATAAAATAATTAAAGGGGCAACAAGGACTGTAGAGAGAAAATTCGAAATTTTTTATATTTTCTGAGCTATCGGGTCAATATTTGGCTAACACCTTCCTTGACATACCTATTTTCTTAAAATGTATGGATAAACTATCAATTCCAGCATTGAGAAGTGTAAATCCAGTTCAAAGCTTCTATAAAGATGTTCATACAGGGGTTTCTTAGTAGATAATGAAAATATATGTTAGTCTTGATGAAATATCCAAACTTAAATATATTTTGACACTGGTGTGCCTTTTATAAAGAATGTTCTACGATTTTAAATGAATGTCACTTTTTCCATGAATCTATCATAGATGTCATCGGGTTTGCCTCTCTGAAACAAATGAGCTAGCAGCCGATCATGTTCAAGATATGATTTTACCGTAACTTTTTGTAGATGACAGTGTAATGAGTCGCATTGTGATTTGGTACCGATATCAATTGGATAAAGGCTAAATGAGAAATGGAGAGTTTAGACGAAGTCGAGTTCTAGCAAAGGTCGATCACAGAGTTAATTGTACTTGGGATTGGCTTTGTCGGTTTATATTCTTTGGTGGATATTATTCTCCTTTATTTTGCCTAGTGCAAAGTTTGAAACAACACCTTTGTGGAATGATAATCAGTCCAGGGCTTAAATCCTTAAACCTTCTAGTGAGGTTTAGAATATGTGTGATAATTAAAGCCGAGTTGAGTAGTGCAAGACAAATAACCAACCAGTGAAAAATTCCGTGATACAAAGAGTGTGGGTGGATTTTCTGAATGTGACAACCATATGATCTGTTCCTGTGACAGTGCCTAATGCCTATGGTTCGAATAAGCAAAATCCTTAAATAGGCTAGTACTCAAGTGTTCAGAAAACAATTATTATTCATTTTTTATTCCGATTATTTCGATAGATTTGAATAGCTATCATTTGACAGAATCAGTGTCTGTTGATGATGTATATTGTACCTGTGTTATTACACTGACAAATTGCTTCAGGATATGAACGCCATCACTCACTGTTCCTTCTTCCATATAACTGGATTGTGTCTAATCCATAACTCATCAAAATAAACCATCCTCTCTCTGGAATATTCTCAACCTTGGCGTGTTTAAACAAATCGAGAAAAAATGAATATGTACTACAGACGTATTTAGTCAAGTCTCGACAAAAGTGAATATGTAGACGTGTTCGGACAAGTCTCAACAAGAATGAATACTGTATGCATGTTGACGTTCTAAAACGAGTCTTGGATGAAATAGACGAACAAGAATGACCATGTGGAGTTGTTTTTAACAAGTTTCACGAGAAACACCATTATAGTGATTGACCTGAAATAATATACTCGTACGAGGTCACATCAAATCCGTCCATTTTATTTACCGGCATTTGATTAATTATAGTAAATCATGCAATCAAGTTTTACCTAAGAACATTGTAGCAATTAATCAAATAAGAATGAAAGTGACATTATTGCATTCGGCAATGTCATTGATGTCACGTTAATGGGATTCTCTTATTGACTAGGAAACTTGATGCTGTCTGTTCTATATTATCTGAGACTAACATAAAAAAGGTTGTTATAATTAGTCTCAGATAGTATTTAGGATTTAATGCATTATATTTTATGAGTAGTTGTATGTGGTTGTATGTACAACTATTTCAGATGTCAAGAGTATTGGTAAGAATATGTCATTTGTTTTTTCAATATAGAGTTTAATGACTTCAGTAAGAATGAAATGTTCTATGGTCTTGTGATTTGGGATTCTGATGTTGTTCCTTTTACGTCAGATCATAACTTGGGATTGCGCTGTTTTTTCCTATGACTAATTGTGTCCCTGTATTTGTATAACTATTTGGACTTTTCTTATGATTGCGTCCCTGCATCTGTATTGCTATTTTGACTTTTCTTTAGACTGATTGTGTTCCTGTATCTGTGCTGCTATTTGGACTTTTCTTATGACTGATTGTGTTCCTCTATCTGTATTGCTATTTGTACTTTTCTCTCTGTATTGCTATTTTGACTTTTCTTATGACTGATTGTGTTCCTGTACCTGTGCTGCTATTTGGACTTTTCTCATGACTGATTGTGTTCCTCTATCTGTATTGCTATTTGTACTTTTCTCTCTGTATTGCTATTTTGACTTTTCTTATGACTGATTGTGTTCCTGTACCTGTGCTGCTATTTGGACTTTTCTTATGACTGATTTTGTACCTGTATTGCTATTTGGACTTTTCTCATGACTGATTGTGTTCCTCTATCTGTATTGCTATTTGTACTTTTCTCTCTGTATTGCTATTTGGACTTTTCTTATGACTGATTGTGTTCCTGTATCTGTATTTCTATTTGGACTTTTCTTATGACTGATTGTGTTCCTGTATCTGTATTGCTATTTGGACTTTTCTTATGACTGATTGTGGTCGTTTGGCACATATTGGGAAATTCTTTAAAATCATTACAAGGTACTGTTCACTGTATTTTACAACTGATAATGAAATGGGGTCGAAATAGAAAAGTTAACATGGGAAGTAAAAAGCAGGTGACATATGTTTTTTATGACATTGATAAAACACCATAGCATTCGTCTTTGTACATGGTTTTCGTTTACAATTTATTTTTATCCTAATGGTATGGTGTTATTATCCAACTCTGGTGATGTCAGCAACTATACTTCTGTCATTATTTTACTTTTATGATCAGCATTTGCGTCATTTGATCCCGAATGTCTATAAGATAAAATATTGCTGAAACCCTTTATTTGACCTCGCAGATTGTATAGCCAGATAAAAGGTACACTATCTGACCAACTTCACAAGTCGATTTGCAAACTTATTTTGTTTCCAATACATTGTTCTTGTGATTCAATTCAATATGTTATTTTTAATTTTTATATTATCTGCAGGAAGTTTCGTAGAAGCGGATCCCAGAATAAATGTAAGTTATATTCATAGGGTATAACTAGAGCTGGCATCGAATAGGATTTTAATGTCGACTAACTATAAAACATTCAAAAATATAACATTGCATAAAATGACACACAGTTATCCTTTTTAGTAAATTTTTATCGCATTTTTACAAATATATAAATTATTTTAGAAAATTGAATTCTCCTGGAATAAAGTCTTAACTTCGGAATATATTAATATTTTGATAACGTTTATCCTATATCAACATTATAACTTTAACAATTCACTGTTTTCCAACTTGTATATTTAAGTGCACGACGTGTAATTTCACTAGAACACCATTGGATGATTACGTTTATGCAAATGATGATTCCTGGGATATAAATGTCCTCAGTTCGGAACCAGGGGCATTATCTAGAGTGGACATACTCAATTTCACTTCGCTGTCTTGGAAAACAGGTATGTGTAGACAGTTTTTAAGTTCTTATAAATATTTTGGACCAAACAATTTTTTACTTGTTTCGTTGATATTGCCTAAGTATCATTTTTGAAGGACTAGATCTGGAACCAAATATCCATCTTGGTTATGCGTTATCTCAAAGACAACAGCCTTCACTACTGATTATGTCAACATGTGTGGTAAATTATCATAAAATGATTGCTTAAAGTAAAAAGCCTTGTTCTTTAACAAAACAAGCATGTTGATGTCGTTTGCAATTTTAGAGTGATACAAATAATGACATTCTGTGATAGGCTTAAAGTAAAAAGCCTTGTTCTTTAAGTTCTATAAAATGTTTAAGCAATTCAAATGTATCAGACTGTAATATCATAAATATCCCAATAACTCGACAGTGTTGCAATTATTGTTGAAAATGTGAATCATGATTATGAACGTCGTATGCATGTTATAAATGTGAGATGCTCAGCCGGGTTATTAGAAGACATCAAAACATACTCCTGCTCTAAGACTTTGCTCCTACTTTCAATCCGACGCCCATGCGAATGATTCGTTTGTTCAAAACTGAATACAGAACAAATGTGTCTCGAGAGCCATTTCAAGGAATCGAGGTGCGGATGTTTGAAAAGTTGAGGTCTTAACTTACTTTCTTAAACATAGTGAAAAACGTGTTATAAATCTACCATAACTTTTATTTTAGGTTGGTAGGTCTGCATGATAGGAACACAAAACTATGACAAAATACTAATAAATATATTAAGCTTCCATTACTACGTATTGTTCCAGACTTCAGTAACTTCACAAGCTGGTGGCACTACCTCGTTGTAGTTACGCCTAGTGAACATTCCTACCTGAATAAGGGACTTCTCTTTCTTGGTGGCGGAAGTAGAAATGAAGAGTAAGTCCACATTGTGATACAAATTGTACATAACGACAATTATTATAATATTCATATCATATATAGCATGCTGTTATTATCAACGTTAAAATGAGTGAAACAAGGACCACGTCTAATATTTGTGTCATTTATGTCACAAGGTTGTCGTTTAGTATGACCCATATAATTGCGGTATCAAGAGTCCTTACTCCGCAACTCTTTCACAAAAGTAGAGATTCGGAATCGGGATCGAAATGTAACCCTGTGACTATTTAGTGCATGTGTCTTATATTGTTTAATTGTGTTGTAGGCTGGCAGATGTGACGAGTGACCCAGATTATGATCTTGTGGTAACATTCGCTGAGTTAACTGGAAGTACGTGTGGCTACTTGAAAGGACTCCCAAACCAGCCTGTGGAATTCTTGGTAGGAAAACTTCTTCTGAAAATGCGAGTTCAGGGAGTATATATACATATGTATATGTGGTGCGCATGGCCTTAACTGAAGAAAGACGATTAAATGGGAAATTTGTTGAAGTTGCGCGTTATTTAGTGTTTATCTAACATTGTCATTGTTTTCCTACTAGAACGAAGACCCTCGCGTAGCTCGTGGAGACGATGCGTCTATTGCTTACACGTGGCGACGTTACTTAGTCGAGGAAAATGCCGCTAATCCTGACACGCTTATGCAGTTCCCTATGGTCAAGGTACAAATTAAAATGATGTATGTTTACTTTCATTGAACTATCATGGCTTGTTCTTCGTATAATGGCGAGTTAAACACTTGTGTTGTTCACTTCAGGCAGCTATACGGGGGTTGGATGCAATGACGTTCCATGCACAGAGGGTAGATCCTAGGACACTTTTGGATGAATTTGTTATCGTTGGCAGTGGAATTGTAAGTAAAGACCCTCTTTCATATGAAAGATGATTTGAGTTAGCAATTTAGTATAAGGTTACCTAGATTTGGTTCATAATTATGGATACTAAAGAATTAAAGGTAATAAAAATCTAAAAAATCGGATGCAATCTAATTTCAGCGTGGCTGGGTTGCATGGTTAGCGGCTGCTATGGACACAAGAATAACCGGTGTGGTTCCATTGACTGCTACTATTCCCAATTTCCAACAAGTAAGAATATTTACCTCCATATATTTCAAAACAACAGTTATTAAACAGCATGAGCTAAATAGGTACATGTACATGTAGCAATATAATAATGCTGCCGTGGGCGAAACCAGAAACTAAAGATATGGAGAGGCAAAAACTTGAATTTGAGGCAATAAAATACGATCATTAATTTCGGTTTCATGATTTCAATTGAATGTTTAAATACGTCTGGTTTTGGTAGGGAATGAAACAACAGTATCGCTCTTTTGGCGGTTGGTCGTACGCTCTGAGGGATTATTTTGAGCTGGATATCACCAGACAACTAGATACCCCAAACATGGCAACCTTGGAGTCACTAATAGACCCAATGAGTAAGTCAAAATAACAGCTATTTTTCATTTCAAATTTCTCGTTTACAATCGGCATATGCTGTCGGCTACGGGTATGCTGTAATTTCGGGTAGTTTAGAAAACTTCTTAAAAATGCATCCAATTGACACCAGTCGTTTGATACAATTCTAAACATTATTTCAGTTCATTGAACGATCCTCGTATTTGTGATTTTAGGATATAATAGTAGATATGCGAACGTTTCAAAGATGGTAGTGGCTGCTGCCTCAGATGAGTTTTACGCTGTAGACGTGTCCTCTACATTCTATAACCAACTCCAAGGAGGAAAATTATTCTGGTGAGATAAAACAATACATCGCTTCATCAAAGTATCGCGTTCTACTTAATTCGAATAAAATATCGAAATTGAAAACTAAATTCGTCATCCCGTTCGTCCTTCCATACGAATAGGACGACTCTGCTTAAGAAAGCATTTTCATTATGGATGATGAATTCAAATTGCCACTTACTTCGTAAAATGTATTGTTTGATAAAATCATGGGCTTTCAACTTTTAACTTGTTTTTCAGATTTAAAAAAAATGTTTTGTCCTTTGGGATTTGCTTTTTCGGGGAGTTAATGTTTTTCGAATAAATATTATGTAAAACGATTAATACTTTTGTAGGCTTCGAGGTTGAATTTATGTGGATTAAAAAAATTATATTTTTAGGATGGTTGATAACACAGATCACGCCTTAAACAACAGACAAGTTGAAACTGCAGCCCAGATAGAAGCATTTTACGACAGCGTACTACAAGTAAGAAACACTCTGAAACTATACTTATAGGAAAATAGTTAATAAAGAGTACTATGTACATCGGGATTTACGCTGTCTCGTGATGTGCTAAAGAGAATTTACGATCAGGATGTGATAACCTAGTTTCAAATTCATTTTTTTGTTTTTTAGAATCATCCTATAGCTGATTACAGATATGAATTTGTAGAAGTAAGTTGTTTACTATTCATATTTATTATTTAGTTATCAATATATACATGTAGTTTTCGTCTTTCATTTTGATAATCAGGACGTATTTCTACATGAGATTGGTTAATATTGAATAAAGTATTTATGTTATAGAATGTAACAACTGGTTCTGGAGAAATACGATTATTCACCGACACACAGCCAACTTTAATTCGAGGTTTTTATGCGGACACAGAAGCACCACATTACAGGTAAGAAGTTCCATCTTGATTAGAATTACATGGTTTAACTCAAATCGGTCTACCAGTATAAGTTAGAACAAGGATGATCATATTAAGAAATGACCTCGAAATAAGTAAATTAAAATAAATAAGCGATTATACCCCCTCCCTAAAACCAGTATACTATGATGTACCACCCCCGGTGATACCAGGATTGGTCTGATGAAATGGAAAATCACAAAGAATCGTGGGCCCTGAAGTCTAATCCTCGAATGACCTGATATAATAGGCTTGCATAATCTGACTACTATAATCTAGGATTTATTTTATATTGATTTTGTTATTGTAGACGTGACTTCCGTTGGGCGTACTACGATGATGAAAGAGGGAACTACACAGAAAGGTCTATTTTCTTTGAATGGGTACAAGACAACAATGTGGATGTTGAAACTGATGACTCCGTAAGTTAATTAGAGAAATAGTTAGAGAAAGGTTTGATGCGTTATTTTGAATTTGTCGTGCAGAGAAACAAATTCATATTTTCAAAGTACTGCCATGTTGCCATTACCCTATCCATATTACTCGAGATATCTGTGTGTAGTCGGAACAACTTTACCAGATCTTATGGGTTCAAGTGAAATCGTGACCATTTGGAATTGACCAATGACACTTGTTAGAGTGAAAGGGCGTTGGTCAAGGTTTATTTATGCCAAATGTGATCTTAAACCCTTCCTGAATGATCGTGTTATTCACATTTGTTTGGCTTGCACGTTTGGCTCACTCTGTAATTCTACAATTGAAAAGTTATATACTAATGGAAATGGGAGAATAAACTCTAATGACGCTCATTCCGAGCGGTTAATTTTTAATATAGATTAAAAGCTTAGAATTATGTGCAATTTTGATTTCATATTCTTGTTGGTTTTGCCATTAGGGAAACCAGTATTACAGTTTGGAATACAATATACCTGCTAATGGTTGGAGAGCATTTTATATTGAGGTCAGTAGAACGATCATAGTAGTATTCTATAAAACAGTAAGATGTACATTCTTCTTCACTTTCGTGGAAGTCATCTAATATTTTTACCAGCAGTCAACTTCTATATCTAGTAGTCTATCAAGTGCAAAATAAAAACTCAAATATTTACAATTAATACGTATCACGCCAAAGCGAAATTCCGATTCACTAGCTTTTTATATTTTCAGGCGGCTTTCACGACACCGTCACTGAGCACAATCTACAAGTCAACCGAAGTTTATGTTATACCTGAGACATATCCCTTCCCACAATGTTCGGGACAAAACTGCTATGGGCGAATTGTGTAATCCTTAAACCAACAAAGATATAACAAAATAATGTATATTTGTCACAAGAGCATGTGATTGTTTCTTATTGATTTCCCACATAAAAATAAAGAAAATGTTCACAAAATAGTCATCAATCATGTGTTACTCCTTTAGCGATATACACTAATTTTCGAACTTTGTCGATGTCTGTTATTTTTCTTTGGAACTCTGGTGGGCTTATGCTAGCCCCCATGGCTACTGCAGTGTTTCTATATGACATGTTTGAGGGGATTGTCGATCTGGCAGAGCAGTGGAATTCTTTGGCACCAGTTCCATCAAGAATTCGTTGCAGATTTCGCTCATTAATACCACCACCTGGCATCACTATGATTCTTTCTTTAGCCTAGAATTTAAGTTCACTAGTTGCATTTCCTACAGTATAATCACCATTTATTGGCAAAGATCAAAATATAAACGCTAATGACACAAGTTTCCATTATAAAAATATTGTTATACTTACAATATCTACCATGTTCTTTATGACAGGTACGCCCTCTAAAGCAGAATTTTCTAGTCCACTAGTAAGTACTCTCTCACAACCAAGCTGTATTATAGTTTCTAAAGCAGTCTCGTATCGTTTACACATGTCGATTGCTGAAGAAGTGTTTCAATTCATTTCACGAGAGTGTTTTTATTTTCAATAATTACTTTCAATAATTTTGTGGTATTGTATATTTTCAATTGTTTATCTTTCAAAATCATTCCTTAATCTCAATTATTTCATATTTAAAACTGAACATTTTTCTATTCTAATGAACTTGGACTCCCCTGCATCTTTAATCCTTAATTCACCAATGACCACATATGTCAAATCTTTTCTCAGGTATCAAATTTGAAATCATAAGAGACAAGCAAAAGATGTTTATCAAAAATGGGTTCCAACATAAAGATTACATATATTTAAAGGCGCATGAGTGACCAGTGTAGACGCATTCAACAATTATTTTCGATTATAAAGTGGCATCATATGCCAACGAAAATATATGAAATGAAAAATGATAGTTTAATGTGAAGGTTACACGAGGCCTTACAAAGTTCTTTAGAATAGATATTCTTACCTCTGTGAAATGTAACTGGACGGGGTCGACACAAGCCTGGAAAATGAAACAAATAATGAAGAAAATGTAAAGGCTAGGATGATGATGTTTTTCTTTTGAAATCCCGATGTATGATTGAGAGTAGAAAATTATCTTCCGGTAGCTGAAGAAAAAGCATGGGGTTTAGTGCATAACGTGAAGCAAAGTCTTACCTAAACGAATATGTTAATTAACGGTGTCCAAAATATGTACTTTATAATTTAATCAAGTTCATGTCGCAAGAATGATCGACCCCCACATTCAAGAATAAAACTTCGCTAAGACAAGCTCAAAATAGGTCACTTTAAAAGAGTGATGAGGAGGCAGATATCCTCTTGATAAATCCATTATTTGTATCTTGATTTTTAACATTTAATGAGCCAAAATGACTTAATTTTTTATCGTAACTTTTACCTTTTTGTTTTATAAAAAATAAGGAAAGAAGAAGATTAGGACTAATATAATTCGTCAACAACAGAATAACCAGAATAACCAGTTACGCCTCAAACAAACATCCTCGTCAAATGCATTTTTCGTTAAACACATTTGTATAGTAAAATAAAGATACCTATTCAGAAAATACATATTCTTTGCAAGTTTACAACTAACTGTACAACATGTCCCTGGGGCTAGGCATTATCATAAATCCACCATACGTATACAGAGTCTCATTGGCTAGCGATAAGAAACAGTACGACCTTCTTCTGACTATTCACTAACTATAACCAGGCCTATTTAAACCTCGGGCAGAAAAAATATCATTTAACATAAGTTAACAGATACATGAAAAATTAACTCAACTATGGCTTACATACAAGAAGACGTCAAGAGGCGACACCAACTACATTCAGACTATCAGGGAGACTTCAACGAAGATGACGACTATGAAAAGGAAAAGAAGATGAGACGAACTTTCGTTTTTCCCTTTACAAGATTTAGTATTAAGGGAATAGTACTCTGGATCATAGGATTAGCAGGGATAAGCTTTCGTATGTATCCTAGTCCGTTGTCATTAATTTTACTTCCAAAATTACGATATCATATATTTTATGATATGGCACATAGGATGCTACTCTTTAAATCAAGATACGCGTGATTATTAAAACGACAAATTCCATAGTCAAGTCATATTTCATTATTACACTAGAAATAATATCTCAGTCTGATACTGGTACTACTTATTGTTCATTGGCTCAACTTTTTGAAGGGAGTTTCTAAAAACATTTATGACATCATTAATTATAGTATGTATTTTTGTTTCAGTTGTCAAGCTGATTGTTTATTCCCAGGTATGAAATCTGCAACTTTGCTCTCTTTAAATAACTATGTGGTAAACAAAAACCTAACTTAACTCACATCATATGGCCTGCTACAATAACCATGTAGTTAATGAACGGGAGGGCTTTCAGAAATACATAGACGTTTTACATGAATACTCGTGCAAGTTGCCCGACAAGCTTATTTTTGACTAGTATAAATATACTCTTACAAAGGGGACCTTTTCGGGGGCCTTTTATTAGTTAATATTATTTGGTTTTTTAAATGGTTCGCCTTTTTAAATGTTGTCTCTTGCGTTGACAATATTAAGTTCTGTATAGTAACTGTAAATAAGAGTAGTATAGGGAAACATTAGGCAATCAAGAATACTTTAAACACTTGTAGAATGCAATACTTTTGTATGTTTTAGAAAGTAAACCACTGTAAAAGAGACAATATGCGAAGACTTGAAGACATTCATAGTGAAAGAATTGAACACCTCCAAAGCATGTGCGAAAAACATGGCTTGTATGATTCAAACAATAACGTCAACCGAGTTGAATTGGCTGAACTTCTCGTAAACAATGAACACAAACTCATCATAAGACCGGTCCAACAAATAGGCAGCTCGTTCTGGAAAAGCATTTTGGTGATTCTCGACGGAATTTATACTGATAAAAGTCCATTTGATATAAAGAACACAGCAACTGCCAGTAGTTACTCTTTTGTCAGATTAACTGACTATCCAACTGAGGAAGCCAACAGAATGCTGAGGGAATACACAACAGTGATGTTCACAAGGGACCCACTATCAAGGATATACTCAGCATATCAGGATCTGTTTGCCTCCATCAACATGAGATATTGGAAAACGTTTGGTGCCAACATCATCAACCTTGTTAGAGAAGATGCTCATGAGAGATCAAAAAAGTATGCCTTTGGTTGTTATTATCGAGGATAGATAGCTTAGTGATAGCTTTTCTTTGTGGCATTTTTGAACCACTTGATGTGAGTGCATGCCTGTTTTTTCTCATATGACTAGCAAAGATACAGCCATATTTACCCCATGCAAGATATTGCCATCTTTCATCCTAAAAAGTCACACGTGCAAGATGAGATTTATTTATGACATCACAGGTTTAAAAACATCATCAACATGACAACTGATACACCGTTACTATGAGTATCCATGCTCATTCTACAAAATAAGTTGTGACGTCATAACAATCAGACTTTGTTGCCACGCGTAACCAGGTGTTTTCTACAACATTGTTATGACGTCATAACAATTGAAAGATGAAGTTCCATTAATTTGAAGCTATTTTTCACTCTGTTTTATCATAAAAAGGTGAAAATATGGCATAATACAGAGTCATATGAGAAAAACTTTCTTATACTCGTACCTGTGCAATATCGTCCATTCTTGACTCGCTTTGATAATGTTTCTTTATCTCGTCTGCGACTCGATAAAGAAGAATTATCAAAGCTCATCAAGAATGGACGATCTTGCACAGGTACTCATATAAGAACCTCTATTTCTTTTCATGCTACATGAGTATACAACTGTTTGGTTTAGCTAGCCTCTATAACATTATGAATTATCTAGTTATTCAAGAGACAAAGAGTTGTAATTTTAGGCTCTTCTTTCTTTTTCTCCAGGTGTGGTCATGATGTCACATTTGAAGAGTTCATTAAATACATAACTGATGTCAGATTCGAACCATACAACGAAGACGCTCATTGGTCACCTGTTGTTCAACAAACACATCCCTGTCAAATACATTATGATGTCATTGGCAAAGTGGAAACATTTATAGATGACATTCACTATGTTCTATGTAAGATAGGAGCCTCCAATAAAGTAGATATACCCGAAGATTCGAAAGAGAGACTTTACATGGCCATTGAAAAAACACTGCGTAGTCAAGTTGGAGAGGATTTAGAAGTCCACAAATGTATACCTAAAAAATTTATTATTGATAAACTTTTGAAAAGTATTGTTGATAAAGGTTATGTTCCTGCTATGCCACTCATTAACCATGCCTGGTCAAGAGGCTCAATTGCAAGGCTTCTGAAAAATGTCCTTTACAGAGTAGATGACGAAGTGGTTAAAAATAGTATGGAAAGAAAACTAAAGGAAGCTTACGAAGGTATACCTCCATATCTTCTGGACAAATTAAAGTTTGTATATGAACATGATTTTGAATTATTTGGATATTGAGACCTTTTTGCAAAGATGAAGTGATACCCTGGACGTATCTACGCCAGAATATACCCTGATTTCGATGTCTGGGCGTTGATACTGTCCGTGATTATGGTTAACTAAGTAATAGAATAATATATTGCAAAGAATATATAGTGTTATTATATATTTGTATTAATACAGTTCCTATTTTGCATTACTCTATGTATATAGTTCCATTTAAATAGTGATCTCACAAATATTCATACAATTATTTACAACGTTTTCCTACGTTCGAGAGAATGATTTAAAACAAAACATTCAAAATATAAAAAACAGATTTTTGAAACCTTATATGTTTATTAGTAAAGTAATGTTAGCGTTACTATATGGTGATTCTGATTAAATATAACATACCTATGAGTTGTCTGCATGTGTCTTTATCTATTTCACCTTCTCTGAAAAAGGAAAAATGTTAAAACTCAATCATATTCAAGTCAATATTTTAACTTTTGAAACGTGTGTGACCTTGGGATCACTTGACCTCAGTACGTGAACAAACAGGAAGATTTTAAATTGAGAATGTTTGAAAATATTACTCTTGGTTTTTACGTTTCTCTAAATGAATATAGTTTTAAAAACAATCAGATTCAACATGGTTGCCAATTTGTAAAATCAAAATATCACAAATGTGAAAGTGTCTATATCAATAATCTGCAAAGGGCTAATAAGATCTTTTTAAGCAGATACAAACAGTGATAGTGATCGATGTTACCAATATTTTTCATTTGAACTGCAGCGTATTTATCCATGATTTTCCAAACTATGTACATAAGAAATCTGGATTCATTTCAGCCAACAACCATCCAGTTGATATGCTTTAGTTCAGAATGAAATACACACGCATATTATCTGTAGCATTTTTGGAAATACGAGGGTTGATCTCAAAGTTCTGCACCGTTTGAAAATGAAACTAACATATATGGGGTGGTTTAGGCCGAATATGAACAATATCCATAAAGAACAACGATTTTTAGAGCAGTGCAGAACTTTTGGATCAACCCTCGTACATCTAATCCGAATGATTGTCAACCAAAGTGAATTATTTCTCTACCTGTATTTTCACAATAATGTAAAAGTGAAAATGTAGAGATTTAGTGTATGGTGATAATGTAGAGTACCATTCTTGAAATAATGCACGGTGTAACATACGTCATTGTCACAGAACCTATGATCATTGTCTTCACAACTCAACGTCGGCAAAAATTCACATTGAAAAATTACGGACATCCTCAAATGACAAATGGTCACTGGCGAATCTGGGGGGCCCAGAAAAAAAATTGGGTCTAAAAAGATTTTGAACCAAAAAGGCCTCAAGGCCCCCCCTCCTCCTTTTTTAATTTCAGGCCAAATTTTGAAGAAAATGGGCCTCAAAATTTCAATATTTGGACCCACTTTTGGTTTTTAGGGGCCCCAAATTTTTTTTCTCTAACCTAAAATTTGCCCCCCCCCCCCTTATTGGTTCCCAGATCCGCCCCTGAAGGTTTAAGACTATATTCATCGAGAAATCAACTTATGAATAATGCGACACTATCGATATATATCCAACGAATGGATATTGACCAGGGAATATCAGTTTTTGAGAGAGAATTGGATGCCAATATCTGGAATAGTCTATGCTAGTTCGTAAATACTATTGTGATTCCCTGTAAACTTACTCTGTTAGGACGCCAATTACAAAACCATCTGCACCGGCAGTCTTCAAGGCTGTGATGTCATTTTTCATGACAGTTACTTCAGCGTCAGTGTACAAAAAGTCACCGCCTCGTGGTCGTATCATGACAAAAACAGGGAGGTTTGTGAATTCTTTGACTGTCTTTAGCATACCTATATTGAAAATGAAAATTCCATTTCTCGTTTCCATTATTTCAATATATGATACATATTCTATAGATCATGCTTTTTATGAGTTGAATATCAGTTCAATTACATTCATTAATGCCTTTATTTTTCTTTGAGCTGAATATCATATCATAATTGCCTATTTTTATGTTTCTCGTTTAGCTTAATATTATATTGACCATATTATCATTAATGCCTACTTTAATGTTTTTATTTTAGCTTAATATTATCTTAACCGTATCATTAATGCCTATCTTAATATTTTTCTTTTAGCTTAATATCATTTTAGTCATATTATCATTAATGCCTATTTTGATGTTTAACTTTGAGCTGAATATTATTTTAGTCATATTATCATCATATGAGAGACCCATGGCACATCTTCATATCAAAGAATTTAATTCTCAGATACTCTTACTTACCAAGACTTGGGGTGGTGCCTCCTTCCATAAGATTGGCACACAATTCAACACGAATCGCACCTGATAAAAACAAACACCCAAAATAACAACTATATGCCAGTGTCATATCAGAATTGGTAGTCACGGGACCAGGCCTCGTGCTACCGTGAGCATGCTCGGCGATATTGTAGCTAAAAACATGAGACTATATTATGAGCGCAGTCAGACTCGGACGATCCTAAAATGCACACATGTTGGGGTCCCGTTAGTGGCTACATACTACTTTTCGAAAATAATGTATAAGAGGGGAATCAAAATCCAAGAAACCCTACAAAGTCCATGGTATTACTTCCGAATATGAAGGATCCGTAGCACACTATAGCGCAGCAACATTTGAAGCAATATGTATGAAGGTTTACATGTCTTGATTCTTTTAAAATACCATTTGCTGAAAAAACTTCCGGCTTTCGGGTCGAAAAATGTCTTTCATCACAAGGGGTCAAAAAACGTAAATATTTTAATTCGAACTTTTATACATTTTATAAGACACAGGCCGTTATTCTAAGCATACGAACAAAAATAAATTATCATAATTTAAAAATATACTATTTAATTTTACCGTAGATGTCGGTGTTTAATTAGTGTAATTATGCAAGTGTGTTTTTCAGAGTTTGTTTGATCTTTCAAATATGAGCCAAGCCGATTCAACAAAATTATGTGAATATTTAGGTAATTTATGATTGGGAACATATTAGTTTTCTTACCATTTAAAACATTTTATTTCCAGAATTTTTCCATATAATCGCAAGGGGTCTAACAACAAATTATTGTTCATGTTTTACAAAACATAATACAATAACAAATAGGTAAGATTTATATCTAATTAAATGTTACAGAGGTATTGGAATGTTCATATATTCCAAGGGCATGTCTAATAATCAATTAGAGTCATATGCAATCGAACGCCTTGAAATTCTTCCTCGACGTTACTTGTGGCTATCATCAAGTTTTCTGATGGCCGTTTGTTCTTTGACTTTACCGCTGGATACAATCAAATTTTAGGAAGATAATGATAACGATTTTTCTCAATTATTCATGAATTCGATCAAGTCTTGATGGTTGTTTTATAAGCAACTGAGCTACATCTAACCACGGGAAATAGAATTTTAGCTGTAGTCCCAATTAGTCAAGGAAGAGCAATAGGCCCGCCTTTATTGATAATTTTCACCGCTGAATAAAAGTCCATCTCAAAACGTATTGAGACTCCTTTTATAAAAACCTAGCATAATTTAAACATTTGTCATTCCAATATAAAAGCCATTCATTTGTAGCATTTATCTTATTAATACCTGAGAAACAATACAAAACGTCAATACACTGATTACATATTTGTTGGTATTGATAAGAAAGATAACCTCAAACTTATAGCTCAGAAACCTAAATCATATATTTAGAATCATTTTGTATTATTTTCTGTTGCATTGTGCACTCCAAATTGTGAAAATTGGGATTTTATTTTTTGGTGATTTTTTGACCTCTGTTAATGGCAGGCATAATTCAGCCTAAAAGCCGGAAGTATATTGAACGGTTATAATAAAAAATTATTAGGGAACATATGTAGGTATGTTAATGTAAGGTCAAATATCGCTGCGCTATAGTGTGCTACCAACTCCTTTATTAGACGTCCTAGAGATTTCATACCATGGACTAACATACTATACAAACACCATGACTCTGCATGTAAAATATGAGCTCATATGCTATACACATGAACTTTTCAAAATGAGTGTCAACTTTAACCACAGTTGAATATTATATTCTGGACTGAGAGAAAAGAGGGAAAAATCTATTCGTAGCTAGTATAGGAGATAGATAGTGCTGACTGTGCCTTCGACTCCTTATTTTTTTAGCCTTTGACACAGTGCCTCGAAGCACCAGTGAAAGCGGGACTGAATTACGGTACTGTTACATACCACCTTTCTCAGCATTAATGGCAGACGCCACGGAGTCGATGCAGACCTCCATTTTTACAACATACGTTGTAAATTGCAAGGTACGTTGTTCTGATCGGCTGTACCCGGCTAGCGCACTGGTCGTACATGTATGTTATTCGTCGCTGTTATCAAACAGTGCAAATGTCCGTTGCCAGGAACAGCAAGAACCAAAGTCCTAACGCCGACTGTATCAAGCCCTTGTATTGTTTAAAATGCCCTCCAGTTAACAAAGATATAAAATATTCCAGTCGGCAAGCATATTCAGAGACAAATAAGGCTTTAAGTCAGTGGAATACAACTCTTCAAACCTTTGAAAAATACCAAGGAGGATTGGAAGCCAGGGTTCCAACTCGATATTCTTTAATCTCCACGCATGCGTCATTTGCTATTCGTGTCTGTATAATTTGTACGACTGCATGGAGAATGACCCGATACTCTCCAACAAAGCTATCGCTAGGTGATTGTTTTGCAGAATATCGGTGTTGCATTCTGGGAGCCAATCCTCCTTGGAAAAATACGGAAGTATCTCAAGGTCAAATAAGGTTGACTAATTAAGGTTAACTATGGATAATCACGATATTCAGAATACAACAAAAAGGTTGCTGACACTCAGCAACACTGAGCTATATCACTGATACTCCACTCGATTACTAGTGCTGGTTATCGGAACAACACTTAGTGGAATGCAGAAAATGCATTGAGTCAAGGGCTTAAATCATTTAAAGTCCCCATGTAAAGTTTAGAAACATGTTTTATCATGAATTGATTGTCCTTTTCATGACTATATAAAAGTTATCTTAAAGATTTTTGAAAAAAGTTGCATTCGTAAATATAAGCTTAGCTTTCGGTTGTATATTCCCGGGCCTCAGATTGTATTAATCTAATATTTTGTGGGCATCTCGTTTAAATATGAATTATAGTACCTGCTACTATTTCATTCATATTTAAGTTGCTCATAAAATGTAATAGTAGGCGCATCCGGTAGCCGACAGCCGAAAGTTGCAATCGCGAATACAAGCTAAGCCAAATACGAATAGAAAGGGCAAAAATATGTATTGTCGTTCCCTGAAGTATCCCATTGAACAGAACTATAGTTTCAAACAGAATAATTAACTTTCAAAGTTTTATTTCATTCAATGACATTTCTAAGTTTGAATTATTTCTGCCTAAGGTTGCGTATCATCTTTGTATACCCCTGGTATGTAATCTGGACAGTACTTATACTCCTGTACATCACATGGACACGTGACCTGGAAGTACTCGGGGTATGTAGGAGGCTTGGGAGGTGCGTAGTCTCCACCTGTCGTGTAGTATAACCCATCGAGGTCCACCTCATAAGGGATTTCGTATGTCTGATCCACATTACCCTTTCCTTTGCCTTTGCCTTTCCCTTTGCCTCTTCGTTTTGCTTTCCTTTTCCCATTTTCCCCTTGACCTGCTGCATAATCTACAAAGGTCAAAAATGAATTTGTTTGAAAATATTGCGCAATTGAAATGCTGTTCTTTATCATTACATATTCTAGCAATCCTTTACTAATACCTTCAATGAAGATGTCTTCAGAACATGGACCATATATTGGGACACGACCTGGGCCACTTCTGTAACCTTGGAAACACTCAGTTCTGCACGGACGTCCGTCAGTGGTGTAAGCCAGTGGGCGGTAAGTTTGGCGCCCTCCTGCTTCTGGCCGTTTGGTTGGAAAGTAGCCATTGTAACAAGGGCGATACTCGGAAGGATTTGGAGATTGGGGTATGTTGTAATAAGCATCATAGTCACCAAAATAATACTCTTGACGACGGCCCTCGTAACTGACGCCATATGTTTCAAGATAAACCCCGTTGACTCCGTAGTATTGTTGGCCATAAATGTCATTAACTTCACAGTATATCTTAGCATTGACAAATGCGCAGTCTTTATCACAGTCTTTTCCCTCCATTGTAAAGGGTTTACAACGATTGTCAGAAGTATCGCAGTACAGAGAAGAAGAATTGCCGCAATCTGGACATTCTGGTCGTGGTCCGCATTGATAGAACAAAGAGGTTATAATTGGATTCAGACCAAAAATATTAGGTATTGGACCGGGCCCTAAACTGCTGAACGGTTGCATGAACGCGTTTGGAGCGTGAGCAGGCGATCCAAAGTCAGTTGGATATTCAGTCGCAATAATCGAAGACTGGCTTGATTGTCGAAACTCTTCCCAGATGCAATCCATGAACGCATGGTGCATAATGAAAACGGGATCATTCGGCGAAAAGTTAACATCTCCCATCTGTCCACCGACGTATGAATGCGCCTTTCCATGAATCTGTTCTGCAAGCATACACGCAGTACTTCCACACCCGATCTGGCCAAAAAATTCACGGGACAAAATCGCCGAAATATCAGCGGGGGTAGTGAGCTGATTTGGGCATTTATTGACAGCACGCCACAGTTTTCTACCATCTGTAGAATCCCAGTTGGCAAATGGCCCAGTCACCACATCGCCATCTCCGTTTCCGAGGAAGTGCTCACTCCATAGACTTGACCAATTAGGGTCAGCAAGGCCTTGTTCGAGGGTAGAGTCCCAATACAACAACATAACAGACGAAATCTTCTGTTGCAGGGCAATTTCAAACCTAAAATAAAAAGAAAGAGGTGTATAATAAATAATATATGATCCGGACATCCCTTTCGTAAATTGTTCGGCAATTAATATTTGAATACGGCACGTCGAAGTGATGCTTTCATTGACAAAACACATCTTTTTATCTTCCTTTTTTGAAAGAACAATTCGTGTTAACAAATTTGAATCCTCCATTTCGTTTTTGTTATCGAAATGATCAATAAGTGTTTCTCGATCAGTCATTGATTACGATACTTCGGGATTGACGTCTGGAATAAACTGAACAAGTTCATCTTTAAATGAAGAAATGGTCATGGTATGATGGGAGGTTATTCTCCTCTCTTACTACAAAAGTAAATGTAAATGGTCATCGTATGATGGGAGGTTATTCTCCCCTCTTACTACAAAAGTAAATGTAAATGGTCATCGTATGATGGGAGGTTATTCTTCCCTCTTACTACAAAAGTAAATGTAAATGGCCATGGTATGATGGGAGGTTATTCTCCCCTCTTACTACAAAAGTAAATGTAAATGGCCATGGTATGATGGGAGGTTATTCTCCCCTCTTACTACAAAAGTAAATGTGTTCTCTTTGATCAATCACGGCTCGAAAAATCGCATTTAAATGTCTCATATTCCATAACTCTAGATAGACTTACATAAGTAGATATATTCTGTGCCATGTCAGAAAGGCAGCTCCACCATGTGCACCTAAAGCTACAGATCCAAGGTGAAATGACACAAGCGTGTCGTATTTGTTTGTCGTTCCAAATGGACCTGCAATCGTATCCCCTTTTAGCATGTTGATAGCTGCGTGAAAATTGTCCCGTTCTGCCTGAGTTGCTACCCTATATTCTTTCCTTGTACCGGGTCTCTGAGTGTCGCTTTGTGTAGTCTGAATTAAAATTTGCCTGATACATAATGAACGAATCGGGATGGACTGTACAGGAGCTGGCATGGTCTAATAATTTCTAATTTGATACTCGGCTCGAACAGGTGAACACGATGCTCACTTTCAACATCAAAAGATTTTTTCAGGACAATAAATAGGACGTGTATGCTTACAGTATCTAATTTGATACTCACGGTTATGGTTGCCATGATTTCGTACAGCCATTCTCTTTGAGCATCTGAGATATCAACGCCATTGCCTGTCTTGTTGGCGCCGTTTTCCAACCACTGGTACATGTGGTCACACTGCCATGTATACTGCTGGATACTCAAGCCTGGGGTCGAGATCCAACGATTTTAATATACAACTTTCTTGAGGAACGAACAGCAAAAAGAGCGAACACAATATTAACCACGGAATGGGAACAGGGTAGAATTGGCTCCCAGAATGCAATCTCGATATTTCCCTGAATGAATCCGATCTTGAAGGATGTCATGATTTTCACTTCAAATTTTGAATCTCGAGTTTTGGTCTTATTACATAACAATGAAATTCAAAACACACAAGAATTGATCAAAATACGAGGGGTGATCAATAAGTAATGGACGCTTTTTTACACAGATACTTTTTATAGACCAATCCCTTTGATTCTCCTACCAGTGATACATCATTCAATTATATATCATTTCTGAGGATTTGAAGACAAAATATAAAATACATGTTGATATATCTTTATTTCCGTGAAGGAGGTACAGGTACCCCGGGACCGACATTTACGTCAAACATTCTGAAGTTATTTTAGCTTGTTTAACATGCAATGCAGTTGAATGCAGGCTGAACACGGAAATAAAGATATATCAAAAGATATTACATGTTTTGTTTTCAAGTCTTCAGAGTTGATAGATAATTGAATGATGTATCACTGGTAAGAAAATCGAAGGGATTGGTCTATAAAAAGCATCTGTGTAAAAAAGCGCCCATTACTTATTGATCACCCCTCGTATTACCTCGAACCTTTTGTATCTTTTGGATTGCTGATTACTAGTATTATTATCCTCTCCCATGATATTGCAAGGTTATCGGACTTTTATTAACTGAGATACAATGTTTTCAATATGATACTGCGGCACACAACTGTCTGCGATTCGACATCCCCTCCCCCCTTCTCCAGCCCAACTTTCCACATTAGGGTTAAAAACAACGCAAAGTAATCGTTACAAATATTCTAACCGGAATAAGCTCCCTTTTCTGTCAACGTGTCGTATGAATCTGCGCAGTCTCTTCTACTATACGTTAGGACTTCGTTACACGGACCAGTGTATTCATCCTTCGTTTCTCCTCCATCTTGTGCGCTCACTCCCAACATTAGCATGGTGAAAACTATTATCCTCATTTTCACTCTAATGATCATGATGATCTGAGACAAATTTATACATGTTAAAAAAGGTTCAGAAAAATATAACTAAACTCATATAAAAAAAATCTTAATGTAGACAGAAGTATAATAAAACATGTAACATTAAAATTCTCAATTATAATCGTAATTTTTTGTTGTTTTAAGATAAAATGTTGAATATAATAAATTTCAGTAAAATGAAATAAAAATTAAATTCAAAGTCATTGGTGCCATATATCAAATCTTTACCTTTGTTGTATTTCGTCTTATGCTCTTCGAATAAAATTAGAATGAATCATTTATCAAATATGTGTGTCCCGAAAACATGACATTAATCTTTTGAATGCCGATAATCGATAAGATAACGTTTGCACCAGTGGGGTAGCATTTACGATAATGGCAGTTTCAGTAAAAAAATGTCGAAAATGGCGGATAGGGATATAGTTTATAATTATCATTTTGCACTTTAAGGGAGTGCTATATAACTGAGTAATTTGATGTCCGCATTGGTTTTGTTTTTTTTTCGTTTGGCCAGACTGCCATATACCTCAGTGGAAAAAAACTTGCAAAGTCACTCAATTTCATGATTTATCAAAAAGTAGGTACAATCTATCTAAAACTCAAATGGCATACAACGTGATGACCATGAAATGTGCAATTTTCTAATTAATCGTGAAAATTTTGGTTAATTATTGTACGAATAAACCAAGGTTTTAAAAAAATTTAAACATTGCATCAATGAAGATTTGGCCCAATTTTTTCACAAAAGTATATTTCGCTATTAAAAAGGAAAAAGGAAAGTCATTTTTAATATCAGTTTTTTAAGTCAGGTTTAATATGCAAATCTCTTAAAATCTCATTAAAAACGAAAATTAGCCAGATTTCAAAGTATATAGAAGGTCCTCTATTGGCACTAATTCCTCAGCTTACTTCGAAGAATTTTTGTTTAAAAAATCATGAATTTATTTAAAACTAAATTCTAGAGCTCACACTTATCTTTTGATAAGCGATGTCGCGATAACATCACATCAATGAATAGCGTTCATTCTCACATGTCTTCTGTAGAAAAAGCGAAAATTGGTTGGTATTGAAATCATCCATGCATGAAAGTGGTTCAGAGAAAATGCATTTTTAAATTTTAGTTCTCATCAAAACCAATGGTACGGTAATATCTAAGACACGATATATTCTTCTTTTCAACTTAGACAATCAACGTTTGATTGAAGTTTAACATATTTAGAAATTTGATGACAATTTTTTCCCAAAAATTACTTTTTTAAAAATCTCTAAAATAACTTTAAAAGTCATGTAAATAGTAAATGAATAATAAAGACATATATTCAAATTATCACACGAGATCTTTAAATTCAGTTCGGGTTTCACTAATTAAAGAGCGAGTCGGTTCTTTCACGGAGCTCGACCAGATTCATCAGTGAAGATGTAGTGCCTTCCTGTAGATTGTCTACACTGGTGAATCTCCGTTAGTCATATAAATCCGACCGTTGTATGCTGTTCTTCGATATTCCTTGTTCTTATTTGGATATTTATTTTTTATCATTTTCTTTGCATACACCGTCGTAGATATTATATGGAACAAATTGCGGTAAACGCTTTTCTGGCCTGTCTCGGTAACCATAGTTACCATACTAACCAAAGTCACACAAATTATCGAGCAATTATTTAGTTCCAACATTAAAGTGTTAAATCTTACCTTAGATATGTAAAACGCTTGATAATTGACGAAATATGATCAATTGAATTATATTTTCATTATCGCCCGCCATGTTGCTGAATGCTGTTTCCGGTAGTCTAAATGTAAAACATGTATCGAAACGGAATCATAATTATTTATTACACAGAGATCGATTCAAAAGCCGTTCTCTTATACTTATTACTTTTCTCATTTTGAAACAATAACTTTTCCAAATAACTTCCCTTCTTAACGACACTGCTTCCCTTTCAACTGAATCTTCGAGTAACAAGTACTTATGATTTCGTTTGATATAGTTTTACATCTAGACTCAGATTAACCCGGAAGTGACCTTGGCATGGCAAAATGAAAAAATTTTAAAATTCAAGCGGCATGCTTATATTTCTTCAATTACCAAGTGTTTAACGTGTGTAAGGTAAGATTAAATACTTTATAGTTGAAGCAAAGACATTTATTTATCATTTGTGTGAATTTGGTTGGGTAGACAGGCCAGGAAAGCATTTCCCGCAATTTAGATGCGCGGAGTGTGTATGACCCTTGTATGCAAGAAAATAAGAAAAAATAAATATCCAAATCAGAAAAAATAACAACAAATAACATCATACGAGGGTCAGATTTATATGACTAATCTCCGTGAGTTCTCCGTGACAATTTTGTCGACACTTACACTTATTATACTGTTATGCTACCTACTGCCGGGACCTAATGTAAATGCTTACATTCCTACTATATTGCATTAAAGTCAATGCCTAGATATATAAAGGGTAGGTACTGACCTTACCTTTTGTTTTAAGTCAAAATGTCAAGGTTGAAGCATTGTTGCTAATTGTTTTTCTGTTCCTGCATGTTGACAGTTGGTCAATATCACTGTGAATATCTAACACACGAAAACCTCTTGCTCTTTTCTAACCAATATGGGGTCATAAAAGCTATGAAAATAAGTATGTACTATTTCAATACATGTTGAGGATGACTTTGCCAATAAAAATGGATGCTTTTGATTTTGCTTTTGATTATGGAAAGGTCAATGTGACAAATAGAATGCTGCTTTGAAATGTCAATGAAGTATAACTTACTTGGGTTTTCTTTCTTGTGTCTAAGAGTAGATTGCAAATATTGTGTAGTTGTTTTATTCGCTTCACGTAATATCCGAAATGGCTCTCCCAAAGATAGGAATTTCGGTTAATTTTGAGATCTCCTAAGTATCATTTATAAATATTGATCGTAAAAGATTGCACATTGCTAATAACAATAAATATTTTATCGTAAAAGGTTTAGTTGAGTTTATTTTTGACACAAATCTTATTTCAATGAGATTTATGTACTAAAAATAAAACGCCTCATCACTTTTCAGTGCATCGTGACATGATGTAGTTATTTGAAAGATTATTTACGAGACTAAATATTCCTATCATGCTATTATGAAAAGACAACGAATGATTTTTATGACAGCCATTACTTTGACCATGCCTACGTTCTGAATAAAAGTGTTATAATGCACTTTTGAAGAGCGAAATGCTCAATTTTCTGAAATTTTGATGACAACAGTTGATTTGTAGTCTAGAACTATGAGAAACTTGGATTTCCCTTTTTCAAAACCTCAGTAGGTCTTTGTTATTAAGCTGACCTAAATTCAAATTTAAAAAATCAATTAAATTTTTTTGACATTTCAAAGGTCACCGAAGGTCAAATCTAAGGTCATATTTGAACTTCTGATGTTGATTCATCGAGATGTGAGGATGGGTGAATGTCAAGATGTGAGGAAGGTTAAATGTCAATGTGAGGATTGGTGAATGTCAATGTGCGAGAATGGTTGAATGTAAAGATGTGAGAATGTTTGAATATCAATGTGTGCGGATGGTTGAATGGAAAGATGCTAGGATTTATCAATTCTCAAGTCTCAATTTATGATTTCCAGGAAACAAAAAATGAAAAATCTGTAAATGAACAAAATCTGTATTTGATTATTACACTATGAAATATACAAGTACATGTTTATACTGTTAATACATGTAATATGCCACGATGAAACTTAACAAGTAACTTTTGATCATTAAAGATATTTCTATAAACTGTCAAACTGAACTTGCATCAAGTATGCTCATACATGACAAAACAATGTCACCAACTCACTACCTGCCATTTGTTACAGACAATGTAAAACTGCTGGATGCCAACCACCAAACGCCATCACAAAAAGGTTAGAGCCCATACTTTACAATATGTCAACACTTTTTGAGGTGGCATAATAAATGCGATATGCACTGACCAAGAGTCAATGAAAGTATAAATGAAAATGAAAACAATTTTGGAGACATTGATTTTAATAAATGTTCAGCTATATGGTTCCTTACATATCATGCAATTGCAGGCCTGTATCTCTGACGTCAGTTCCATGTAAAATAATGGAACATATTATATTCCATCATGTTATGGCCCACTTTGTCCTCTATGAAATTTTAGTAAAATTCCAACATGGATTCAGGTCAAAGCACTCATGTGAAACACAACTTGTCAATACAATAGAGAATATAGCTCGGGCCCTCGACAACAATAAACAAACAGACATGTTGGTATTAGACTTTTCCAAAGCGTTTGACACGGTGGCTCACGAACGCCTCTTGCTCAAACTCGACTATTATGGAATTCGCAATAATAACTTGAACTGGTTCAGATCCTGGCTTGTGGGAAGATCACAACAGGTAGTGCTCGATGGTGAATCAAGTTCAAAAACTCCAGTAAAATCAGGAGTTCCTCAAGGAACAGTTCTTGGACCACTCTGTTTCCTTGTTTATATCAATGATATGGGCAATAACCTATCATCCTCAGCCAGTCTTAAGCTTTTTGCCGACGACAGCCTTTTATTCATGACAGTCGAAAGCAAGCAAGATGCATTAACACTACAGGAGAATCTTGATAAACTGGTCTCCTGGGCATCAACATGGCAAATGAAATTCCATCCATCAAAATGCTATGTGCTAAATATTCACAAAGGTAAATCCCCTATCATGCACAATTATACCATGCTAGGGGAAAACCTTAAGTCGGTAACACACATCCCATACCTAGGAATTGACATCACAAATAACTTACGCTGGACTACACATATTCAAACTATTGTATCCAAAGCCAATAAGGTGCTTGGATTTCTCAGGCGCAACCTCCATCAATGCCCTGAAAAAGTGAAGGTTCAGGCGTATAAGTCACTAGTCCGGCCTAATTTAGAGTATGCCAGCTCGGCATGGGATCCATACCGACAAAAAGATATTGATATGTTGGAACAGGTACAGAGAAGAGCAGCCAGGTTTGTAACCAAATGTCACTCAAGGGAACCAGGCTGCGTCACCAAAGCTCTTCAAGACCTACAGTGGGAGCCACTGAAGGAGCGTCGAGAGGCTGCTAGAGTTTTCCTTTTCTACAAAGGAAAGCAGAACCTAGCAGCCATCGACGTGCCTCCATACTTCCGCCAACAGATCAATACCAACACTAGGTTGTATCATCCTTCTAAGTTCATACAACCATCAACTAGAACGGATGCATACAAATTTAGCTATTTCCCTAGGACAATAGCTAAATGGAACACTCTACCTGGTGACATCTTAGACTGTGACAGTCTAAGTAGTTTTAAATCATCATACTATGCCTATGTCAATAACTGCAATTAAATAGGTGTGTTTTTAATATAGATCTATGTCTTAATGTAAAGGGTCCCCAGTGCACAGCAACAAGCCTGCACTACTGGTAAAGAGGGGTAGTGTCAACGCGGTAGCCTGACAGTCTCCCCAGGTAAAATGAGTTGTAAACCATAGATCTATTTTTAAATGTTAAGGTTTTAAATTATATTCTATTCAAATTCTATCACTGTTAAATTATATATCTGCTTTATATGGGCTTATTAGCCTTTTGCAGATTATTGACATAGACATAGACATGCATACAACAAATAAAGTATTCTGAACCAATCCATCCGACAATATTGCAAGTAATCACAGCTAGCAACCTCATTTAGTTTTAATCCCAAAATTACTAGCATTGCATTCCAATTGCATCGTCAAGTTTACCCCAGAATACACATGCATATAAAATGTATTACAATCTAATATTACACTATATTACTGTATCTTACAGGTGCAAAGTACATCCTTGAGTAAATACAAGATTAAACCAGGGATAAATTACAAATAGAATATTCCAGGAGACAAGTAGCAATATGTAAATTGGCAATGCAAAAATTATGTATCATTATCTTTATGACAGTCACGACTAGATTCACAAAAAAAGAATGAGGGCGAGGTCATAGGCTTGTTACCATAGAATAGAATCCAGTACATATATCCATAAGCCTCTCTCAATACCTGTATCAATACTAATCATTATACGAACGTTTAATGGAAAATACTTAGATTTATAGTCAGATAGTTACTGGTGACACTTTCAATTTGGAAAATGGGAAAATGTGAGACATAGTCATATAGACCAATTTCCAAATTGTCTCTATGTATAAGAAATCTTATTACACTAATTGGAAGAAAATACAGCAAAAAGTATCCAATTCAGGCTTGTTCTTTTCACCAATCATTAGGAATTTGTGTTGTAATAAATTTAGGATTGAAGAATTTGTCAATTTATGACAATTTATCAATTTGTTAACATGGAATTTAAACAAGCATGCTAGCATTGTATCACTTAGCAACCAGTAAGTTTATATCAAAGTTACCTTGATAATAACCAGACCAGATGACTTGGTCACCCTTGCCCTCACCACTTTGAGCTATTAACATCCAAGATATTGCACAATATAAACCAAAGAAAACTGAATTTAAAAATCTTAACAAATAAGCAAAGTCAAAACTTCAACAAAAAGTTAACGTTTTACAGATTTTCTATTTTGGCAAGAGCAGCATCATTTAGATGTCTCACTTGTCTAACACCTTGCTTTTGAACATCTGCTAACACAGCTGCATCCCATGTGAAATTCAGCACAGCTGCTGGAGCCAAGCCTAACTCTGCCAGATTGCACTCTTCATTTGTCAATTTTTGTCCAGTGGATGTATTTAGCATAAATGGCATCCAATCATTCTCCAGATTCTCACGGATAAACTCCATGACAGACTGAAGTTTATCCAAAGCTCGAAAAATGCCCTGGAGTATGATATCATCGGGAAATCGAATACGCAGCAATGTGTATCTATATTTACGTAATTCCCTTTGTTCATCTCTCTCCCGCATGGCTTTTGTACGCAACATTCCCAACTTCTCAACAGCTTCGGTTCTCGCTTGTTGTTCACGCTTGATTTCCTCTTGAGAGACAGCATAGAAATCTGGGGGAACTTCAATTCTGTTGGCATACTGCGAGGGATAGAACACTTTCATGTCTCTATCTAGCTGTGGCCTAATTGGCTCAGCTATAAACAACAAATCTTTAAAGTTCATTAATGCTTCTGTGTCCATACCACGTTCAGGGTTCATAATGAAAAATTTTTCCTCTGGAGCATCTTCTCCTGGACCTGGTAGGCGCTTTATTTCAAATCCTCCTGCTTGGAGGAACTCTTGTACTCCTTTAAGACTATTTACCCTCTCCTGGAATGCCTTGTTGTTTATCCTTATCTTCAAATATTTCTCCTCTCCCGGGTGAGATATTATATTGTCCAAATATTTGCACAGAGTTTCAATCCCGATTCTAACCTTTTCTTTATCTTTGTTTAAAGTATGTATCATCAATGCTGAGGCCATAGTTGGTTCTTCGACTAGTTGTTTCATTAGAAAGTCTTCTATATAAGTCTCCATTTCAGCCTTTGGGAGAACAACATCACCAACAAGAGGACATTTAAATTTAACTGAACTTATCATTGGTGCAGCATCCTTAATAACCTCTTTGGGACCAAGATCTGGAGTAGCTGAAGAGCTAGACTTTTCCCTCGCTTTCATTTCAGCCTCGACCTCAGAACGTATGTGTGTTCTCATAGATGGCTTGGCTGTTCCTGAAAGATAGTCAATTATTTATATTTTTTATTTTAAAAACTGTTCATGAAATAAATTACATGTATCTTGAAAATATGTTTCTTTTTAGAATTTCACTGTTCATAATATGTAATCTACATCTAAATATTGCAAGATGAAAATAGAGTCTGAAACTTAACATGTTAGTGACTTTTATGATGCAAATCCCATTTTTATGTTGGTATTAAAAATCATTGGAAAATAGTACCCCAGTCGCATAAGTTTTTCATATGTGCAATTATGAATATAACAATTCTTTAAAAAGTACATTTAATGAACATAAACAATAAACATTCAGGAACTAGTAAGGATTGAAGTAGGGAGAAGGTATGGACTTTATTTCTTGAGGAATGTTGATTCCCAGGAGTCCAAAAATAAAATTGCTATCATCGCCTACCTTGCCTAGGCTGTTCCATACGAGCAAGAGCAGCTTGGGCAGCAGCTCTCTGTGCGTCTGTCTGAACCATGGGCTTTGCTCCTCCAGCACTATTGGAAGGTCGTGGGCTAATCTGACGAGACTCATCTGTCAATTTCTTACCCCCTCCAGCTTTCTTGAATTTTACATCAAGTTTCTTTTTCTCAAAGAATCGTTTGATGGCTGACATGCTAAAACCAAGGATGGCTACATTTATTTGTTTTTATGTTATTGACAGTAAATATTGGCCACTTTTATCTAATATATTCACATAATACTTTCAATCTTACTGAGATTAAACTTGCTGATTCTTATATCCTGAGATTACATATACAGTACTTCCTTTAGATCTATAGAACTAATGCCAAAATAAATAATTGTAAAATTGTACCTTCTTATTTACTGTATAGTTCTTGGCTAGTCGTGATGTATTTTCTGCTTGCCAATTACTTCTGCTGGAGTGCTAGTATATGGTTCAGGTTTTTGGGTTGTTGCAGATTGTCTCTTGGTTCCAGAAAATGTATCTGTAAAATACACAAATAGTTTTACCACAGTACAAGTCAAAAAGGAATCAAGCAAACAAATATTACCATTAAAATAATTTATACAGTATGAACTTACAGTAAAAGCCCAAATTATGCTTGTCTGTGCCCCGATTAAACTTCAAAAAATAAGCAATTGAAATACCATTGTGCAATGTAACATGGAAAAATACATAATATAACAGAATTATATGTACATATACTGTGTATATTGATAGTACAACTGTACAAAAGATTCGCATCTAAAATATTAATGTATTTTTCAAAAAATAATGTACTGTAGTCCTTTCAATTGCTTACCAAACCTCAGGCAATTAACATACCCCGAAAGACTAGCCACACTTGACATGACAACATTAGCATTTAGAAGGTTACGAGGAGACATGATTGAGATGTACAAGATCATGAACAATTTCTACGACATCAACCCCAAAACTATCTTTCCTCGATTGAACAATATAACAAGACAACCAGCAAGAGGACACACAATGTACCTAAAACGACAACACTGTAGACTTAACACGAGGCAGCATTTCTTTTCCAACAGAGTCATATCACCCTGGAACAAACTGCCTGAATATGTTATCCAAGCAAAAAGTGTTGACCAGTTCAAGAACAGGTTGCTTGACCATTGGTACAGCCACCCACTGAAATTAGACTGGGAGCATAAGCCTTAAAGTAACACATTTACGATTCTAGGCCGAATTTCGACAATTTAAGCGATATGAGTCAAGAAAATAGTCTTACCTTTCTATTAGGATGGGTTCAGGTGCCAAAAATAACTGATCCATGGATATATATCATTTTGAAATTTGGATGCAAGAAATATTTTTTCGGAGCCATGTTTTTTTTACGACTCATAACAGGAAATAGATTATCTAGATGAAAACTGAATTTACATCATCAATCCTGGTTTTGACTTAAAAATGTACCGAAATAGATATTTAAATGTTATTAAAATGATTATTGACTATTTTTTTATTAATCTTATGCAGTGATTCGACTGTCTTCTAAAGTTTATAACATAGCTTTAGAATTACAGTGTTATTTCATCATGCCAGTGTGGCCTAATGGAGTAAGGCGCAGGACTAAGGTTTTGATACTTTGAATCCAGCTGTCGGTGGTTTGATTCCCGGTCAAGACTAAGGTTTTTTTTCTTTTTTATTTAACTCTCAGACACAATTTTTTTAAAAATCTCTTTTTATACAACATATAATCATATCTATTACTTTTTGAGGTTTTAGATTTTAGATACATCGTAAATGTGTTACTTTAACTGAATATATGCCAAAAATTGACTGGATGTGTATACCAAATACAGTACACATCATGCCTAAGATCACATCGGCATGCTCCAATCGGCGAGTCGATAGGCGCGTAGTCGGCAGGCCGATCGGCACGTCGATAGGCACAGGTCGGCACGCCGATGGGCCTTGCCATCGGCACAGCAGAGTACTGCCGATCGACACAGTCATCGGAACCGCATTCCGTCGTGAAAGCTACGTGTATCAACGTTCGTCGTGAGAATTACGTGTATCAACACATTACATTGCTCATCGCCAAGACGATAATATTTCGATTTACATTTAAAATTCGTGAGACATTAACCCGGGAACATTAATCCATACAGCTTAATGTAGTATATCGCTATTAACGTCCCACAGATTTAAATATTTTTTACAATCTATGTCGTCGCAAGGGGTAACTGAATTAGGCTAAATAAACTGGCTAGATATTAAACGAATGATGGGATTCTACGACTAAAAAGATGTTCATGTACATTGAAAAGTGGACAATTCATTTGTTTGAGTAAGTTTGAGTAAAAAGAATATTTATCGAGACAGATTATGCCAAGTGGGGAGAGGGTACAATATCAAAAGCTCAAGAGGAAGCAAGTTCAAAATATTTGTTTTTATTCCCCGTGTCTCGCCTGAACTGCATTCCCATCAGCACCTATCAAGACTGCCCATCGGCGTAGTCGTTGAAACTGTCAATCAAAACTAAACATTGCTTGGTACAACCCTTCTAAAAAGCCTCCCATCGGACATTATTTCAACTTGACATGATTTAGCAAAGGACGTATTTCCATGATTAAAATGATCGTGTTGTATTTCGTACCTTCAACAATTATTATAACAAAGGAATTATTGAAATACAGTATGATGCCAATGATGGGCAGTCATTGAAGCCTGTGATAAAAGCCTTATCATTGTGCGAATCATATTGAAATTATCTCATTCCCCGGGTCTCATTCAGCAAACAAGTATTAATATACGCTACGTTAAGATAATAAAAACACGAAATAATTTAGTGTTTCACAGTCTTACAGAACGACGATTTAAAATCGTCTAATTTAAATTACTTGGAGCCAACATGATCAACAAAATTTCTTAACTATTGTAAGGAATAAAATTAAGATTTAAATGTTCACCCCCCCCCCTCTGTTTAATTTCGATTCAAACAAAATCAAACGGGAATGATTATCTTACAAGGTACGCTGAGACTTAAGACAATAAAATACGATAATTAACCTGATTGCATCCTGTGTCTTATTAGCGTCTGTTATTTATTACTGCTTAACCAGTACCAGACTGATTGCGTATTGATAATCAAACCGGTCGTGGGATGCAATGATATATCTAAATTTATCCCATGATACTACTTCCCGATGAATAACACCTTGGAATATTTTTGATTTTGAAAGAAAATCGTATTGTCCCGCCAAATCCCGCTCGCGAAAATGATATACTCCCATTTGAAAATTAAGAGATTTTGAGACATATGAAGCCGCGTATTAAGCATAGTGTAATTGTAATTTCATGCTCTGACATAGCATACCAGTGTATTCCTTCAGTCATACAATATTGTAATACCTTGATGGATCAAGATGCTGATAAGACAGTTTAAGTCGTAGAAACCTTAGCAATAGCGAATGTGTTTGGTCCCTTTAATTAATATAATATGAATATTGTTACAATATAACTGTATTGAATGTTTCTATGTTGATGTGTTTATGTTATATATCTACAATAAAAATTTTATATTTCAAAATTCCATACAGTTAAGTCACCGGACATTTTGTAGACTAATAATATAACAGACTTCTGGTTTTGTTCCATACACGATAAGGATTGTGAACTTTAGATTTTATGAAGAGAGTTATTTATATCTATATAATTACGTTTTGAGTTAGAGGAAATTTACTCAATATCACTTTGATGTCTCGGTCACCTGGCCATAAAAGGCATTTGCTTAATATGATATTCATTTTTTACAGGTTGTTTCCATTAACGGGGTGATAAAGGCATGTGAAGTGTTTGGCTACGCATGGACCTCAAGGATGACACGGGGTGGAAGAGGGGCAAGGGTTGGTGCAAGTCCCGGGGAGTGCAAGTCTGCACTCCCAGACTCCAGATAGGAGTGAAACGCATCATGGGATTAAATGCATTCGTTGAAGTTTACAGAAACAGTTGAATATAATTCAGAATTTAAGTGAATCCACATGATCATTTGCGTTCAACAATGCGTTTATAGAGAGGTTTCGCAAGTTTTTAGCTCAACGTGTTGTGTTCACCAGATTTATTACCCTTTGCATTCGTTCGATTGCACTTCTTAATTAAAAGAGAGTTTCATCTTCTGTAGTTTATTTCTAGGCTCTGCGCGTAGGGTACAGCTTAATGAGCAGCTAGTTCAAACTAAAACGAGTTGAGGTTAATCCATTGTGCGAAACCTCTCTAATACCAGAGGGGTTATTCAGCAAGCTAAATGACCCCTCGGGGCGATATATATGTTATGTTACAGTTACATGTTAAATTGTTAAGACTTGAAAGTTAATAATTAAGTTTTTTGCGTTATCTTTCAGATACTTATAATTAGTACACGTTGCTCTCTATGTTGGCGGTGATGACACGTTCTGCTTTCTTTTCAAGAAGCTGCAGTCTAATCTTTAAATGTATTCAGTTTATTGGTTTTGCATGTTGCATACATATTGATAAGTGTTTACATTCATAATTTAAAAAAAGCTTTGTTTTGATTTATTATTACTTACAAGACGGGAACAAACTTTTGTAGGGGATGTTACAGGCGGGCCCGTAGCCAGCTTTTGGCAAGGGGTTAGTTCGCTTTTTAAAAAAGGAGTGTCACATGTTGTCCCAAATTACTTGAAGATCACAAGACAAAGGGCATGATTTTGAAAGAACTTTTGGTTGCTCGCATTTACTCAACCCCCCCCCCCCCTCTTGGCTACGGGCCTGAGACTACATGTACAGATGTTTATACAACATGATTGTAGATAGAACGTTCATTATTTTAATAAGCCTAAGCTAAATACTTTGCTGTGCTTTATCAATTACGCTTCCAGTTTCGACCATTTATCTGTATTGATATTATAAGCAAATTGATGTATACTTGCTCCGTAAGGTTGGCAGGTTGAAATGTTTTCATAGGCCTAGCGAGCGCACCCCCTCCCCCATCACTAATGAAAATATAACCATGAGATGGAAGAAGAAATTAGCTTTAAAATATGCTTTTTATTGTGAAGTAAAGGTGAAGTTTCTAGCTCAATTTTGAAGGAAATTGCATTGATTTTTGGAAATTCAAAACATATCTTAAAAAAATATTTTGGTTGTTAATCGCACCCCCACCCAATTCTGACTGAAAACCGAATTTTTAAGGGGCAATCGCATCCCCCCCTGACTGAAAGTTGGCTACGTCCCTGTGTTTCCCTTTGTCCCCTTTCATTTATCTTCTGTAAACTTGTTTGAACAAATTAATACTAGTACTACAAAGATAACTTCATTCGAAACGCATGCAATTCATTCCAATTATATTTATTCATGTATTTGCATGAGGGAAAGGAATTTGATTATAAAATTGACGGTGGTTGCTAAGTTGTGATTTGGGAGGGAGGGGTATACTATACTAAGGTGTTATAAGACCCAATAATTAATATAAACAACTAAGCGCCTTCCTGATTGCATCCTAGCTAATCCTGTCCACCAGTCTATCTCGATCGCATTTTATCAATGAATTTATAATTCCTGATTAAACTGACTCTTGATTTTAAAATAGGAATTCTAAATCTGTTACTAGTATTTAAAAGTTGGTGTCTAGTGTGATACTGGAAATTGGAATACTATATTTTGTATTACTATTCTATCTCGATCTATAGTATATAAATATGGATTTCTAGGTCTACAGGCTGTCATTCCCATATGGGCTTCATTGAAACATACGACATTGCAAAGTTTATCAATTTCAAACAAGCCAGGAAAACAGATAACTAGTCTTGCATCAGGCCCCGCAAATGTCCCATTTTCTCTCGGGAAATACATACATATCAGAGACATGTTTCATAGCCAGAGGGCAAAAATGTCAAAATCGATATAAAATCTAAAAAGGATAAAATGTCCCCCCGAATACGGTACCTAGGTAATTAAATCTAATATTTCATAGTTCCCGCATAATAAGCATAAAACTTTCATTTGCCGCTGTATCGAAATTCACGTGATCCCTTATGAAGTTTTACTAAATAATTGAGTTTGATCATTTAATGCTGTTGGATAGAATATTAGGCTGAAAAGAATCAAAATTTTAGCCCATGTCTGGGCGAATGGTATAAATTCACATAGTTCTGATTACAATGAGAATTCTAAAAAAAATTCCTGTCATTTCCTTTACTCTATGTTTATAATCACGTATCATGCTTATTAACTAGATCAATACAGACTCGATTTCCTTTACCCACCATCAACATTGTTATGTAATGACGGGAAACAGTCACTGTAATCTTCTAATCAGCCGTTTGTTTTTATTGTAATTAAGAAACTAGTCAATTTTTATTTCGTATTGTTTCAATGAACAAAAAGCACATTAGTTCAGCATTTCAAGGAAGGGGGGGGGGGGTGTAAACAATTACTGACTGTCAAGTACATGTATCTTTCACGAGGCCCTATTTCCCCAACCCTCCACGCATGCATACGCCTATCATATGTTTGATAGGTAAATATATCATTCCAACAGATACTGTCTGGACCTCCTACCCTTTTACACCGGGTCTCTTCTTGAACCCCTCCCATATTCTAATGTTTCTCGAAACTGCTCATGTAAACTTTGTAAGGCAATGCAGGGTTTGCTACGGGTGTGACTTGCAATGTATAACTTACTTGTATTTGTATAAGAAATAAAAACAAATAAACAAACATAAAACATAATTAATACGGTGATAAGCAACAAAACGTCAACATTTCAAAAACAGCCATGCACTACCCTGCATTTTAGCTGAAATTAAGTTTATTCCAAATAACTTATGTAACGAAATGGAAATGATTCGAAAAATAACAATTCGATGAACATTTCACAATGAAGCAATCAAAACCAGATAGTAAAGAATTATTCTAATTTAAACCGACGTGAAACCTCAACCCTAAAGACACTGGTGACATTTGAAAGACTAATTTCTTAATCTAATTTCAACAAAACAAATCAAAACTTAAAAAGGTTGACGGTCGTTGTAGTTTATAGACCATGCTAACAAAGTTAAAACATTTTATTTACGGCTTATTTAAAACATGCAAACGGGTGTATTTACTGAAGGAATATGTTAGGAAATATATTTAAAGTGTATTCATGCCTGCAATCATCGCTGGTAACACCTGAAAAACAACTTCTTAAAATACAAACATAATTCACTGCACTGCGTATACGTCTACCTGCTCTCAAATCTAATAATGAAACGAAAAAAATAATGCATGCCAAACTTTTATCTATTGTAATATTATCTATGGTTATTTCAAAGTTTTACTCTTGCATCAAGCAACTGTGCCATTTCCCCAATACAATATGGGATAAACCTTTCCGGCCCACTGTCAGGATGTATCAAGAGAGTGAGTTCACTTTTAAAGAAATTCCAAGGGGTTCACTTTTGACAACTCTGACCAAAAAATGACCAAAATCATTTGAAAATTGCTCAAAATGGTGAACACTCCGACCCCCGGCCACTCCCTGGCTACGATCCTGTCTTTAGGGCTAACACTTTACTTGAGGCAAGATGCATAAACTTGAACTCCCTGGGCTATAACTTGAAGAACGGCGTATTGTTCTTCAAACTGGACTTGAAATCTCAATTTTCACTGCTTGTGTGTCATACTCATTGGCACCTGCAAAACAGAATAATATAATAAGAATAACATCATGATGATATCAGAGATCATATTTCATTTGGAGCCTTAAATATTAAACAAGGCATAAACATGAAAAATGTCACCACCCGCCATTTGTTACAGACGCTGAACGCCCACCCCAGACGCTAAACACCGTACACAAAAAAGTTGGAGACTTTAACAATATGTGACCACTTTTAGTGGTGACATAAAAAGGGGAAGTCCCGTCTAAATAAAACTCCTGGTTTCAAGTTTTTGTAAACATACACCATTGTTGTCATGACCTGCAGGTCACGATGACAAATGACTGTTACGTTGTCAATAGAATATAGCGTTTGACCATCTCTGATCATAAAAATGAGTTGATAGAAATTCAAGTAACATGTATCAAGTTCATTTTATCACAGACTACAACTATTGATTCCAAATCTGGCTCACTGAGCGGCTCAATAATTAGTAGTAAAGCGTATTTTATAGAGTCAGTAGTCTGGTGGCAGTTTAGAAATCCCGCGTTCGAACACTTTAATACTCCTAGATCTTAATATAACAATGCGTTTTTTGCAATACGTTGTTTTTATTCACCTGTAGACGCACCTGGTGATCGGAAAATATGAACGGATCGGAGGGGGTGGGGTTGGTGAAGATTTGTTGAATTTTCTATCAAAAATGGGCTGACCTCCCTCCTCCGTTCATTTTGTCCGATCGCTGGGCGTGATAGATAATGTATTGAACGTTTTTATGTGTTTGTTATTGAACGAAATGTGTATTTTGGACTAATAATGTAATTCATAATGAATACAAGTATTTCAAGAATTGCCATACTGCACGTAAAACGGGTTGCCGTAGCTTCTTCACTGATGTACGATATACTACATGTACTTAAAAAAGTTTTGTTCCGACTAATAAAACAGATCATCTTTAATGTAAAAATAACAGGTGAACTTCATATAATCATTTTAGATACTGTATTTAGTAATATTATGAATCCCAAACACAACGCATTAATTAAATGCATACTGTTTAAGTGTCAATTAGCCTATTAGAATAAATATATTAAAACTATGAACAGATAATTCATTGATATGTATTTATTCAACTCTAATGGGCTTTTCCCTTTGAACTGCTACATGGCTCTCGATTTACAGATTTACAGATTTCGAGCCATCAAAGTCAGATTAGGCGGAGCCCTTATCCTCAATTAAAAAATAATATTGGTAAGGAAGTCGGACATGTTGGATACAATTTCTCATCTCTTTTCTGCTTTTAAAATAACCGACTTGAATCACAATTTGTGTACGATCATTGCATCAGATCTGAAAATATCCGTACTCACTGGTTTTGTGATCGAAAGGTAGTTTTTTCGTATAACAAATATATGAATTATAGATTATATAATTTGTGTGTTTTTTTATGAAAAATAACATGCTCCCCGCAGGTGACAAATATTTTGACCACAGCCGTGATACTGTTTTATTTAACTCGTATTTGAAAACAGATTGCGGAGAGACTGAATTGTTCATTTTCTTTTAAAAAATATACGACTGAAAACTTACTTCGTCAAATTTTGGCCCTTGCTATCCCCCCAGCCCCCGGATAATTCCAATATAAAAATAAATGACATAGACCTATTTAAGTATTTAGTTTAATCATCAGTTTGTTTATTATTATATTTTATCACTCATACCAATGAAAGTGTTTTTACGTTGTTTCAATGCCGATCGGAGATCTGTTCACGGTATGTTTGGTACAGTACAGTGTGTGCCGATCGATCCCTTCGACTGGGAATTCAAATTAAATGCCGATAGACGCGTCGATGGGCACTCAGCGAGCCGAAAGGCATGCCGATCGGCGAGCCTACCGACGTCATCTCGGCGTGCCGATCGATCGCGCATAGGCGCGTGCCGGTGTGATTTCAGGCATGATCAGTACTGTACACACACCCATACAGGCAAAAGGCTACATAAGCCTACAAGCCGGTGTTTTTCTTATCTTATCTTATATTTTAGATTTGATTGTTGAATGATCCAAGTAGCTCACTGTATGGTGTCCAGGGATTTAAATGTACATGTACATGTAAATATGGACAATCAGGGATAATTTAATTTACGATATTGCAACATTGAACATGTGTCCAATTTTGATTTTGATGATCAAATATATAATTTTCCAGATTTTTGTACTTACTGGGAGTATTACGCTTCGCAAAGTCCTCCAACTTTTTCCCATACAATTTCCAAGCAATGTTTATTAGAACAATGTTTATCACAAGCCAGATGAGTAGGAGAAGAACAATCTTTAGTTGAAAATCAACATCGGGGTCATTGGAAGAAAACCACCTCAAAACTGTGGAGAAAACTGATGAATCACTGTCGTCAGACTCAGTAGAAGACAGAAGTATTTCCGGGTTTGGTTTGATACGGAGAGTCTCGGTGTCAACTGTTTGGGAGTTCTTGCCTGAGTTAACACTATCTACGATATCCACACCATTATCTGCGTCTGTCATAACAACGTATCTTGAGAGAAAATCCAACTGTTAAATAGTAAAAATAGAAAAAATCAGAAAAACGGGAAAATCTAATTTTATCTATACGGACTGAATACTACCCCAACTATTTTCTTCAATATATTCTTCAATTAATTAAATTTAGCTAATCTTTTATCTAATGCATTTGATAAAATATTATAATAAGTAATCTATCAATAAATTTCTAAATGTTCTTCAGAATGTACAAGATATTTTGTAAATTATTGTCTGTCCAGAAATTTATATTTGGTCTGTCAAAGTACTTGTCTGTTTGTACAAACTGCAGTTTGAATAACTAGGAGTTGATGGCAAATCAATGTTTTCCCTCAGATTTATACAAAATTTTGTTTTAAAGGTATATTCTTTATAGTAATTACGAACCCTTCATCGATATATATAACATATATACTCTTATATACAAACACAAATCGAAACTCATGCAGTCTAACACAGCCCAACTTTTGATTTGACCATGGCCTCAGAAAATGAAACTGTAGAACCTCCTGGTGACGAATTCAAGACATTAGACGAAGGCAATGAACCTGGTGGCAGAAGAGATGGATTTCTGGTTGCTTCAGATTCATTTGAAGACTTTGCTCGTCTCGAAGAAGCGAAATCAAGTATCAAAGATCGACATCCAAGTGGCACTATCAATAAAATTGTGAGGGAGGGGTCTTGTGAAGATCCACCAGATAAACAGGTGAGACATAAACTAATATATAGATAGCCATGAAAATTTTGCCATTTGGGCGGGGTGAGAGATTTCAAATGGTTACTCTACAGTGGCAAGTCAGTGGTAATATATTTTTTGCATCATGGGCAGCTGATCATGGGGCGTCTTGGCACTTGAAGTTAAATCATCTGATCATCGATTTTATATCTCATTTTCGTTTAATCTTCAATTTTTTCGTCACATACGATAATGTACACAGGCCCGGGAAGATTTAAATCCCCCCCCCCCCATCACTGTATCGCTAATGTAAAAAAATACAGGCTCACCTCGTAAACATTCAAATCTCTTCTCTAACCGCTCAATCTCACCATATGTCCAATGATCTTCTCTAGAATTCTCAGATTATGTATATAAATATCTTATCGACGAAACAATCTGGTTGTTTGTGTCCAGCTAGCTTTTACCGAGCAACCCACGGTCACAACAAATTGACATCCAATCGCCATCTTGTTTACTTGAAAGATGTCTCTGCAGTCGACCAATCAAATGGCAGCAGTTATTAATTAATATTATTTAATTAAATTACACATTTAATTTAACATTCTCACACTTATTTATAGTGTTGTTGCGATTAATCGATACATCGCGATATGCATCGCCAAAGCTGGTTCTGGCGATGCATCGATGTCTGAAACAAAACATCGATGTTTTTAAAAAATTTTAATTTGCTAAAAATCGCCCTTTCTTATCTTATTTTGACGCAAATTGCTTACCTTTTTTCATGTCTTATTTCATTTTCAAATGTTTTCTGATATTATTTCGCTTTAAAACTGTTTTAGCTAGTCGAAATGAACCATTAATCTAAAAAAATTACTTTACTTTCATTTCACTGTTACTAGAAGTTCCCGGATGTACCAGCATACTCTTATTAATTTGTTCTGTTCGGTATTTTAGTGCATTAGTGTTCGGTATTTCAGTGCACTTTTCTCGAACTTTTTCTCGATGTACATCGCGATGTGCATCGATGTTTACTACTGAAAATTGCTGATGCATCGATGTACGATTATTGCACATGGCGACAACACTACTTATTTATTGTTTTTTTTCAATTTTTTGAATTACAAACCTACAAAATTTTGAAGTTTTAATTAATCAAATTTTGGTGGGAAAATCACGATGATGTTTTAAGAAATCAAAAAAACTAATAGTATACGATATACTATGCGAAATATACCGAGACTAACTACAATAAGTTCATAGAATCATCACAGATATATCTTAATACTAGAATTGAGATTTGTAATCGTAATTATAAAAATACAATTTTTAAAATAATGAGACACTCGTCCTGGATATTATAGAGGTCCCTGTAAAAGGACGTCAAAATGTCGTGATTACAAAATTGATAGTTTTTTCCTCACATTTCCAATGTTAATAGCACAATGCTGAATTAAGAATTGGGGAGTTACCATGAATAAGATTTAATGACTTAACCTTGCTTTGGGACAAAAGATAATGCATTACACAACTCAGTGACGGAGATATGAGCAATTAGAGTTGAGGCTTAGATTTCCCGAGATAGGAGCCTGTCTTTTTTCTAAGTAATGTCATAGTGAGTGGAAGGGGACTCTTGTTTCAGTGTCTGTGATAATGTTTGTTTGACCCAAACCATGGATTTTAAGAGATTTAAAGCCCATTCCCGAACCAAGTTATGTATCATCTATCTTTTGTTTGTTTTTTACATAAAATTGTGTAGAATTATGTCCAATAACCCAGATGTGAGTAGGTAGTTACCAGTTGCACCACCAGGTGGCTAATTTGGATCAGATAGCATGGCAGATATGGTAGAATGTTCCCTAAAACTTGAATATTCATCAGCTAAGTGGATCAAATTCCATATAACCCTTGTGTGTCTGATAATGAAAAGATGTCCAGTAAAAGAAAATATATATTCTGTCCATGGACTTTTAAGAGATCTGAAAGCCTATGGTTTGATGCAGCTACCATTTTTCATCTGATTTTGGATATTTATCACCCCTATCAAAATGAGATGTTTTGTTTTTCATAACTCTCCAATGGCAATGGGTGTGCTTTGATATTAAACAGAAAAAAAATTTACAATTATGTCAACTAAAATTAATTCCATTAATAATCATGTTAGTGAGTTGTATGAAAATGTAATAATAATATATGTCCAAATATTGCATTTTAATGGAAGGTCCTGCTTAAATCTTCCTTTATAAGAAATATATTATAAAAATACAGATAGTTAAAATCTCCCTTGTCAACTCAAATGTTAATTTCTATTTTCAGGATGAGATTGAAAGTGTATCATCAGGCATTGCCTCTATGGCAACAGAGGAACAGAACGATAGTGCCTTCTCTGATAACGGAAATGTAGCTGAACAAGTAGCCCCTACTCTTAGTGCCAGTATTCACGAGGAGGAAGAGTTGGATGAAGTACACAAACCAGAATGGAAGGGACAGAAAAAGCATGTGTTTATTCTTAGTGAAGCAGGGAAACCAATATATTCAAGGTATTTTAGAATTCAGATAGTATGTATTGATTTCAATAGTTATTTTTTTATTTGCTTGTTTTCTTAGTCAATAATGGCATGGAAATAGCAGGCCAGAAGTACATCTTCTAAAAAACACTTTTAAGAAATCACGCAAAATATTCTATATATCATAAGTGACAATCTGAAAATGTCATAATGTTAAGTGAAGATACACAATACATAGGAAACCTTTTCCATATTTTATCTCGTCGTATTAATAATTCCAGTGATCTGATTCATCACTCAAGTTTTGCTTTCCTGTTGATTTTAACTCTCAAAGACAATTTTTGATTTTACATGGAGAAATGTATGATAAATTATGATACTTTCTGTTTCAGGTATGGGGCCGAAGACAAACTAGTTACAATAATGGGAGTTATGCAAGCCTTAGTGTCATTTGTGCAGGACAGTAAAGACTCTATGCGATGTATTATATCTGGAAAACATAAGTTTGTTTTCCTAACTCGTGATCATTTGTTACTAGTGGCAGTTTCGTGTACTAGTTCATCCACACCTCAACTGCTCCTACAGCTCAACTATGTCTACAACCAAGTGCTTAGCGTACTCACCTATAGTCACATAAACAAAATTTTTAAACAGAGACATAATTATGACTTGAGGAGACTTTTAACAGGCGCTGAAAAGTTTTTTGATAGTTTGTTGAATTTGATGGATCATGAACCAGGGTTTTTACTTAGTGCAGTTCGATGTTTACCGCTACCAAGTGCAGTAAGAGATGTAGTCGCTCAGAGCATAGTGCAACACGCAAAAGTCAAGGTGAGTTATCTAGCACTTTATTATTCAATTAAAGCTTGAAGGTTTTAAAAGTAGATAAAGTGTATTATTGCTCTGTTTTACCTGAATTATTCATTGTGACTAAGTTCTTGTACTTCTTACATGTTCTCAAGGTACATGTTTGCATATGTTTTCATTACAATTTGAAATCTTGATTTAATAAGCTTTAATCATTACGGCATTTTGACCTAAAAAGAAATTAAATTTAGAAATAAACATTCACTTCTTACTTCATGTACTGGCTTTACATTATGTATTTATTTTAACTGAATTATGGAAAATAGAAAAGATTTGCCCATCCTTTGGGGCATAATGTGACACCTTTTCCAGTTTATGTATCTTATCCATATATTGCAATTTATTCCAGATTTGAAAAAGGTTGAAAAGTGCCTGACAAACTATATGTAAATGTATGGTTCAGGTTCTGTTCAATAATTAAATTGAAATATTATATATTTTATTTTCAGGACTTGGTATTTGCAATCCTTATAGCGAACAACCAACTTATAACTCTAGTTAGAATGAAGAAATATTTCCTCCATCCCGCTGATCTTCATCTCATCTTCAATCTGGTCTCAGCCTCCGAATCTTTCAAAACTGCAGAGTCTTGGACTCCAATATGTCTACCAAAGTTTGATTCAGGGTAAAACTGTTTTTTGATATCCCTAATTTTCTATAATAGTAATTGATTTTTGAAACGCATTTTCATTTCATAGTGATAAAACTGAGTACCTAACACAGTGTTAATCATAATATCTGTAACCTTCATGTAACCCGTAGTGTGTTACAAGTCAATTCATTTTCATTGCATACCTTCTACGCACAAAAAACTAGTAACTAAAAATACAGCTTCCAAAACACAGTAGAACATTTGGCTCAATAAAACATGTAGATGTAAATTTTATTTCTCTAAATTCCAAAATTATAAATGCAATATAAGTATAGTAATGTTTCACTCATTGAACAATAAACACCCTGTCTTCAATAAAAATATCAAGATGATTGAATCAGAATTGGAAATTCAAAATTGCATCTTTTTGTGTGACCCTGTATATTTCGACACAGCGTAGCTTTAATCTTAATGTACAGGGTGGCCCAAAAAGCAGAACCCAACAGTTTTTATTTAAAGTTTTGCATGTTTGTTTCAGTGGTTACCTCCATGCTCATGTTTCTTACCTGGATGATAATTGTGCCGCCTGCCTGTTACTGCTGACTGTTGATAGAGACATGTTTTTCACACTTTCTGAGTGTAAATCCAAAATTGTAGAGGTAATATACAAAAGTCAACATTTTTGCAAATATTTAATCAATTGACAGTTGAGATATAGATTTATCGATGATAGCTAGATACCAATAGAAAATTATGCACAAAATTCAAATATACTGTATCATCAAATACCAATACCAGAAAATATATGTCCTTGGCTGTTGAATATGCAAACATTTCATATAAAATGAGTCTTCAGCAAGATTTCAAATCTATATGGCAAAGCCTCTATTAGATATTCATTTTAATTGTTTACTGGAAGGTAATTTTTTATTCATGAAAATGAAGGAAAAATGATGATAAGGTTTCAGCTGATAAAGAATACCAGTCTTGCTTCAAGACTCTGCCCCCGCCCCGCCTCTATCTAAATCAACAGTAAAGTAGATAGGGGGTGGTCTGGGTCTTGAAGCAAGACTAGAAAAATACCTTAATTTGTCAATATATAACTTTTTCACAAATGGAAAAAAATTGTCAACCCTTATTGTCTCTATTGATAAGATTACCCCATTACCTTAAGTGATTAATGATAATGTTTGTTTAGGCCTTTATCTTGCAATGCAGATTTAAAAAGCATAAATGAAAAATGAGATTTTTCATGAACTTTTTCAGAGGTTGCATCGCTACAACTGTATAGAAGCAATAAGAGAAGCCCTCACCAAGTACACATATAGCATATCCCAAGTTGGGATCCCTGACCTCAGACATTTCATGTATAAATCAAGGAGTACGGCTCAATTTACCAGTCCTGAGCTAGAGTCACCGTACCATACAGCAAGTGAACAGGAGAGAATATTTGGACTCTATCAGTACCTTCATCATAGAATGCACAGCACATCGAGGCCCCTAAAGATACTATTTCATGTAGGATCATATGAGACACTGCTAGGCTGGGTAAGCACCTCCTCTGGACCTTTTTATATCTTCCTTCGTTGAATGACTTGAGTTATTATTTTCATCATTTCAGCGATTTTTAACAGATGTTTTTAAGTCCATACATTTAATGCTTTTGCATGACATATTGTAATAATAGAACATCAGTTATATTCACATAGCGAACAATAAATTTAAATTACAGTATTGATCATTTCACTGTGATATTTAATTTACCGACAGAACAGAATGGAATCAGATTTTTTTATCTCACATTTAACATCTTTTCTATTGGAAGATGGGAGCCCAACACAGGCCTCCAGGAAATTTCTATTTTTTCAAGTGTGAGCCAATGAATGCTAGTCAAGAATACTCTGATAACATACACAAACTACTGTATAAGTGGTAATTCATCTGAGTGGTTAATTTACCCAATGGTCAAATTTTATATTTCCTAGTGAAAAGATACTTCCCATTGGATAACATTATGAAGATAATATTTCCGACATTTTATTTTCCGAACCTGGCAGAAATTAGGCAATAGGCAAATTAAGTGATTCGGGAAGTTTACCACGTATACAGTTTTAAATGAAAAAAAGATACCTTACAAGAATATATTTTTGATTTGATTTTTCAGGTGACATCAGGATTTGAATTGTACGCAGTATTTGGCCCTCTGGTGACCAAACCAACAGCCATCAATTCTATTAACAAATTACTAAAGTGGATCAAGAAGGAAGAGGATCGATTATTTATCCTGAATTCGCCAACATTTTGAAAATAGCAATATTTTAGGTGATACAAATGGTGTACATATAATAATGAAAGATATATTGAAACACAACACAGCACAGTATTTGTGGTTCTCTAATATTGAGCATGTATCACTGTTCCACAACTAGTTACTTTGATGGAACATCAATGTAACAAAATGGATGAACTTCCTGGATACGAGTTTTTTGTTTTCTCGATTTAAACTTACGTATAAGTCATGTTGCGAATTATTATTTGGCACAAAGTAGACAATATAGTCTAGCTTTTGGATATGCTCTTGGTTTGGAATTTGATTTTTAAATAAAGTTGTAATTCATGCATTTAGACCACTGCTCTTGTTACAATGACGTAAGTCATCAAAGTAGCATACATTGGTAATATAAGACTTTCGTCAATGTAACAAAAGCGACGGGCTAAATATATGAATCGCAACTTCATTTATAAAACAAATTCCAAATCAATGAAACTTATTAAAACTAAACTATATTTTCTAGCTTCGTGCCAAATTATAATCTGCAACTTGACTTATAAGAAGGTTTAAATCGAGAAAACAAAAAACTCGTAATCAGGAAGTTCATCCATTTTGTTACATTGACGTTCCGTCAAAGTAACTGGTTGTGAAACTGTGATGTGTAGAAATCATGAAACATCTACAAATGAATTTCTCCACCACAGTACTAATAACAACAATCACTGACATTTTGTAAAATGTCTTTCATACATTATACCCATGTTACACAGTTACACAGTCTTTGCAGGGTTGAATTTTAAGAATAATCAAAATTGACAAATTGACAAAATTGAAATTGATTGTTCACGGGGAAGTAGCTGTTCCAGTGTAAATTACTATAACCGGTGTAAAAGGGTAGGGGGTCCTCTTAATTTATGCTCCTACTCTCCATTGATTTATATGGTGACCTCTTTGTGCTCTTTCCCTTATTATCTTATACACAATCAGGGCCAGTAAGGGTCTTTAAAAGGGGGGACCATAATCCTTGGGGGACCATAATTTCTTTCACACCGGTCCTCGTAATCCGAGTTAAACTTATGTAAACAGACCAGTATATTCTTCTTTTATTCATACTTTCAAACATTTTCCATTCATTTCATTCTTCTACTAAGGATGGTGTTTTAAGCATAGAAATTGTCACCGTGTCATTTAAGCCATACCCCCCGTGTCGTTGCAGGTCTTAACAAGTTCGAGTTATTTACTGATTTATCGTTTTTTGCCTAGTTGAGTTCTACTCTGTAAAGTGTAAAATATAATGTAATGTGTACGATGTGATACAGAATCGGCCCATTTCTGGAAGCCCTGCAAATACTATATTGATGACATAGTACTGTACTTGGGTATTGTACACAAAGAATCAGTTCAAATTAAAAATCTATTTATTAAATATATTACTAACATGAATGTACACATCAGATTTCTAGGCTGTTTATTAAGTTATTATCAACTATGCATGAATTAATAATCTTACAGGGTATACAAAACATGTACCCTCTCATACTTTATTTCGTCTTAATGTCAGTAACTTAATTTGGCGCTATTTTATTTTTGCAATTTACTAAAATCGCCAAATAAAATCGGTAGCCAAATTAAGTTGACCAACAGTATTTCATTTATTGCTAATAAGAGACAGTGTCAAAGTAACAATTATGGTGAGGAATTAAAATGGGTGTCTCTATTCTCAATACAGTAAAGGCTGTCTTTGTGAACACTTGTCTCTAGCAGACATATGACCTCTGTATAAATTACATCTCTGTAGTGAGCATCTACCAACACAAAAAAATGTTTGATATTCACAGGTTTTAATGTATATTCTCTGAACTGAAAACAACCTGCTCTTAACCCCCTCCTCCCCAAATGCAATCACCAGTGCTTTTATTGTAAATTAATAATTTTTTATTAATATATTGGTATGTTCCCTCAAAGAAGTAAAATCAGTGTTCAGAACAAGTTGTATACCCTATGAAATATCATTTTCACATTTTAGTAATATTATTTTCGAAATGAGCTTACATATAAAAAACAGTTCGCGCTGACCAGTCAATGAGTGAGAAGACAGCAGAAACGTGTTATGAGTACCAGTTTCTCACTATTTGCCCACTGATAAAATACCAAAAATAACTTTCTATTTTTGCTGGGAAATTATCGATCTTAGTTGAAACCTCTTGATCAATCAGAAATATTGTGAATATTGATTGAATTTCTCGTTCAAATAAATACCCATAGGCGAAATAGTGAGAAACTACTGTTTGCAAATGTATTAGAAGTACGTCCTATTGCATTTACATATTAACTTCTCTGCCTCTGTGAATGCGATACTTACTTAATATCGTATTTATGTATGTCATATTTTGTTGGTTTCCACATCCTCATTCAATAGCGGTCTTTGCTATGTTTTAAATTATCGGGTGCAAAATCATTTGTTTGTAAAGCCTTTGTTCGAAAACTGTGCTTCCAAAGTCTGTTTATACAAGTGTAAATGGACAAGGTTTTATTCAATTTAATTGTAATGTGTAGAATTATTGAGAAATATTGAGACAATCCTTTAAATGTTTAATGCTTCATTCTTAGTAATTTCTCATTTAGACATAGGCCTGTATGGATTCAACGTGTATGTACATTCCTATAAAGCCAAGACATACAAACAGTTGGCATTAAATTATTTTACAAAGAATATAATAATTACACAAACTTGCAATAAATGTTTTGTCTATAGATTTTATATTTGGTACATTTTCAGTGAATATAACTAGGGGGTGTCTATAACATGTATAGGACATTCTTGTTTTTCTCATACCATACTTATTTATACTTTATTAACCCCTTATACGAGAGACAGTAGCCAGGGACTTAATCGTTGAAGCAAATTAAATTGTTTTAACTTTCATCATTTTTAACCTTAAGTCATCATTTTTTATTTATTTATTCAATTGGAATCGAGAGTATAATATTTCCGCCTCTTTGCTTTTTTCTTTCTTTTTATATGATTTTTACCTCATCCTTTTTTCTTCCCGGCAAGAGAGAAAAGGTGGCATTTTGAATGACATTTTTTACATTTTTGATTGGTAGATTCACTCAATAATCGGAATAGAAAACACAGTGATCCGCCCAGCAGAAAGCAAGCTGTGGGCGCAGCACTCACCTGAGATATTGATAATAGGCTTGCACCCACCTGGGAATCCATTTGGACCACTTGAAAATGAGAAAAGTTATGAAAATGGGCATATTTTTAATTAAAACCTAAACTTTACTATTGTTACGAGAACTCAAAGCGTACAAAGGTGGGTTCTTACTTCTATAAGCTTTTTCCTCATTATTTCGTGAACCGACGTATGTATAAATACATATGAAAGTGACTTTCTGGGTGCCCAAGGCGGGTGATGCTCCCGGGGGTTCACTCTAAATAATTATCCCATCGATCGAAGTTCGGAGGGATATAGGGAACGCCTCCGTCCGTGCGTACGTCCGTACGTACATCCGTACGTACGTCCGTACGTCCGTTCGGGCAATAACTCAAATACCGTTGGCCTGATTTTTTTCATATTTTGTACACATATACCCTATGGGGGTAGAAGTTCTGCTTGAAAGCCGATTTTCAAAATGGCCGCTCATTTAAAAATGGCGGCCATTTTAGTGCCGATTTTACAGTAATTTAGGTGCAATATGTAAAACTGTATAAGCAATATGTTTTAAATGTAAAAACATTATCTAGGACATTAATAAAGCTGGAAATGTAGATATTAAAAAAGCACATGGCAGCCATCTTGAAAAATGGCGGCCTTTACTCGTTATTTTAAGATTTTTGCTATAACTCGAAAAGTAGTGGAGCGATTTTGTTCATATTTGGTATGTGAATACTATAAGCATGGCACACTGTCTAATGACACTTTTGGTAGAAGGCGTCCATTTTGAAAAATGGCGGACATTTTGAAAAATGGCCGCCATTTTAACTTATTTTACTATAACTCGAAAAGTAGTGGAGCGATTTTGTTCATATTTGGTATGTGAATACTATAAGCATGGCACACTGTCTCATGACACTTTTGTAGAAGGTGGCCATTTTGAAAAATGGCTGCCATTTTAACATATTTTACTAAAACTCGAAAAGTAGGGGAGTGATTTTGTTCATATTTGGTATGTGAATACTATAAGCATGGCACACTGTCTAATGATACTTTTGATAGAAGGTGGCCATTTTGAAAAATGGCTGCCATTTTTGCAAATTTTTTGTTAGTAAAAATGCCAGCCATGGCAGTTCGATGGGATTCGCTTCGCTTTGGCGTTGCCGTTGTTCTGGTTTGGGTAGGTATGTGCACCACGGCCAATATTTGCTTTGGGCATAATCCATGGAAACTGGCAAATCTGAGAGGAAAAGAACATGGAAAAATGTTTAAAAGAGAACTTTCTTTTTAAGTCAACATTCAATTTTTCTACATCAAATGGTATTACATTGGTTAAATCCGTTGCCGAGGCCTGGGACAAATCACTGGAAAAGTGAATTATTTTAGTCAATTTATTATATTTAGGGTAACTTCGTCCCACCAAACTCCAGGAATTCAACATGGCCATAATACAATTGCTCTTTTCTAAGTCTGGGAGGAATAAAACATGGAAACCTTGAATCTTGAAAGGAAATTGATGGAAAAAATGCTCAAAAAGGGGGGGTTGGCGCAGCACATAGGTATAAGAGGTATATTGGAGTGAAACCCCCGGAGTAATGCCCCAGAATTCAAAGGAACTTATCTACATGTAATTAGATAAATCTATAATAGAGGTACAAAGCTATAGGCCTATGAGTATTGATTCCTGCCCAAGTCGGTATTTTTTACTTATCTGGAATCCGGTGCGGGATCCGGTGAATCCGAATTCAATGACGTATCATGGACGCTATGATAGTGTACAGTATAACTTTTATTCTCAAAAAATGTTTGTTAATTAAGTAAGATTCCACGTCATCAGCAAAGTGCCATTCTAATGAACATACATGTATTGTCCAAGACCCATTGTAAAAAACAACAAAAGAAAAAAGGAAACAAGACGAACGCGTAACAGTAATTAATTAGTCGGATTTTTGCCCTTGATAAATAACGTCAGCCAGAGACACATGCGTCAGCAAATGATCATGAATGAATAGCAATTAATCTGGTTATTTCAAGACCTACTCGACAACATTATTGGCTTGTTTGGCCCAACGTCTCATTAATTATACCGTTAACCCAAAAACACTAAATTCCCTCAAACATACGAGTCTTATGTAAATTTTCACAAATATATTTTTTCAAAAAGGGACAATATTTTAGATTTTGTTTACTTGTAGAAATGTTCTAGTGATTTCATTTTATAATTTGTCTAGTATCAAGTCAGTGTATTTTCAAAACGGCGAATTAATATCTCAAATCAAGTACATCTGACAAACATTAATCCAAAATATGGGATTCATTCATGAAACTATTTCGAACACTTACGATATACACATTATTCTCAAAAATGTCGCGTTGGGGTGAATGCACAATTAGACTCAATTTTTCTGAGTTCTAAGTATAAATCTCCGATTGAAATAAAACCTAATTCTTATGAACACTGAAACTTGATTGAAAAATAAAATATGTCATAGGCCTAATAATGGATATGTCATCTCAAAATGCGCAATTACGCGTAAAGTAGGTAATTAAACGTTTGCGCATAATGATCGTCGTTGTTTGTAGTTAGTAATTCCAAACAAATGGTTTAGAAAATAAGATTATTATAGGCTCGCATGTTCGTGTTCATTTAAGCAAAATAGTAGAACATATATTACATTTTTGAGCAGTCTAGACACCTGAGCAGTTTGGCCGAGTGGGTTAGACTGCGGTCGAATGTACCGGGGGATACGGAGGTCCCGCGTTCGAGCCTCAGGTACGGAGTTGTTGATCATTGTCACTACGGACACCCGGTCCGAAGGTCCAACCGTATACCGGCCCTTGGCTTGGGTTGGTTCCCCGACCGCTTTTTTGGGGACAGATTGTGAGACTGTGGTTGGTTCCTCCACTAACGTGCTTTGGTAGACTTCGGAAGTCATACAGTATGGTAGCGGGCCCCCACCAAGGGCAGTAGTGGAACGACACGAATCGGTCCCAGTATGGTTGCCTTGCAACTGAAGAGACTCGAGGAAATCATGCCATTCGCGGTGACCCAGAAAAGACTATTGCTCTTTTATACAATTTTTGGAATTCAAATAGAAAAGTATGATGGCTATTCATCATCATTTCTCTCTACTGCCATTATCGAACTTATGTTCGCATGTGTTTACCCTTCAAGTGCCCCCCCCCCCCCCATTGAAAAAAAAGTTATAACATGGCCTAAAAGTAATGCCCAAAAAGGCCCACTTTGAGGCCCTACAAAATTTGGTTTTTTGGCTTAAATTTTTTCTCGTCCCATTCAAGGGGGTGGACCCCATGTGGGACGTATTAGTTTCGATACGTCCCGAGAAGTTGGACCCACCATGGGCTTTCTAGTTGAAAGCCCATGGACCCACTGACCGGGTAAAAATATAGCCTACACAAATTGTGACTGCCATTGAGTTTCATTTTCATTTCATTTTTTTCATATTCCTACACTGAAATGTAAGATTTCCTTCATATTTGAATTCTCACGTTGTTAAATATTCCAATTGCAATTTCTGATTCTTTACTATTATTTGATTTGAGTGACCTCTTTGAAATCTAGTGAGAACTAACTGATATTTGATTTACCTGCGCGCATGCGCACATCGATTTATTTACAAATGGCTACCCTAGCGAAGTAGAATTTGCTCAAGAATGTGAGTTTTATTTGCTAAATTACTAAGAAAGTATACGATAATAACAGATATGAATAAAGGATGCTATATAAATAACATCAGGGATTATTTTCCGTTTTATTTGAACAATAATTGGTATTCGAACCAGGAGATAATCATGTTTTAATGTTTCACATTTTGCGATCGGACCTTGACATACACAGGTGTGCTGATTGATAAAAAAAACGTTGTTGATATTTCAACGGAACTTTAGTGAGTGTTTTAGTGGTGGAACCTAAATCTAATATGAGTAAGCATCAGAATGGAGACTCCAAGCGCAAATTGGTGCTTTATTTTGACATCAGAAACACTGTTTTGGTTGCTGATTCAATTTCCAATATTACTGTGGAACAAGCACTGAACAGCTATATGACAGCAGTAACATGGGGAAAGAATACACCTCATGGATGGCAATGGTGCTCTGATAAACCATCTCTAAGAGCCCCACATCCAGATGCTATAACATATTACAAGCACCTTGAGCAAGACATTGTAAAATGTGCTACAGAACGGTCTGCGCTGCGGAAAGCTACAGGTGATTTTACGCAAACTGTAGGTACACAATTTGAAGGCTATTTTCTCGATGGATTGAAAAACATTGAGTGGAAAGGCGAACCAAAAAATTTTCTGACAATGCAGAGTCACAATAAAACGTATCATTATATTCTGCCTGCTTTTTTCCATTGTATGAACTATCTTCAGAAAGCAGGGCGTGAATACACTCTTATATTCCGCACATATGGAATTGATACGGAGAATGTATTACGAGCTACTGAGCAAACAATACTTGGCAATCACCCACAATTCGATGCAATGGATGTCAAAATTAATATGAAACCAGGACAATTAAAACGAGTCAAGAATGGCTTTGAACTTTATGATTGCAATACAAAAAATGGACAGAGACCCTTGACATCAGAACTTGAAATCTACAAAAAATTTACAGAATCATCTGGTGTGTCCGGCTATGTAGATGATTTCACCTTTTGGCAGGAAAATGGATATCACCATGAATCTGGAAAACCTCTATGGATTGACCCCAATGACCATTCCATTCAGCAGATAATATTTGATGACAATATCAGAGTTTCTGACGTAGACTCAATTGTCAACCTTCGTCTACTAAATAGCAGAACTGGTAAGAGTCGCAGTCTTTCGCAAAAAGAGACAGAAATAATGGAGGATAGCTGTTTGGTACAGATGGACTTACTAGATGGTGTCTCAAACCAAAACTATTTTATAGATAAGGTAAAGTTATGTGAGACTAATTACGACAGATTTTTAATGTCATTATCAGGAGAATGAACAATCATTTTAATAAGACATGCATATGATTGATCTGTAATACATGGATACTGACCTAAAGTCAGCTCATTCCAATTTTATAGTTTTTGATTCTAGATATTATTCTTGGACTGCAGGGTATTGTAATGGAATTGTCCTGCTATATTGATATTACTTTATTCCTTCCTTTCACTGATAATTAGGGAAAATGTTAAGTTTATTGTTTCCCTTCAGTTTATAGAGGACTGGAGTGTCACCCATGCTCAACAATTTGTCTCTCAGACCTATATTGTGCATTGCACTTCAATTTGTTCAGGTACTGTGTTATGACTTGAAAGTTTCACACTGCAGTCTTTGCTTCTATCAGTTCAGATACCTTGTCACTTGGCGTGCCCTTTTATCTGTCCAGTTACCCTGTCCTGGATTTGTTGTAAAGTGTCATTAGCACTTCACTACACAAAAACAGTAGATACTCATTGCTATTGATATTTCACTTTTATCTGTTTTATATAAATAATGATTTTGATTGGAGTCTCCTCTCTAGACCAGTAACTACTACCTCTACAACATTATCATTATTATTTTATTCACCTTTATATAACTTGTGGCACACCACAAGATTTTTGCAATACAGATATAAAACATAGTGTAATCAATCTTTCAATTTAACATACCAGCCAATATATACCAGCCAATCTGTATTACCATTTATAGTTATAAACGTATCTACTGAGATCACCCAAGTACTATTTACAAAATATAACCCTGTGACACTAAATCACACAGGGTACAAACACTTTTTAGGCCCGTAGCCAGGGGGGTTCCCCCCCCCCTGACCAAAAATTCTTTTAAAATCATGCAGTTTTTCACCATTTTGAGCACTTTTCAAGTGATTTTAGCCATATTTGGGCCAAAATTGTCAAATGTGAACCCCCCCTGGAAATTTTTGAAAACTGAAACCCCCCCCCCCCCCCCCCCCCCCCCCCCCCTTGGCAAATCCTGGCTACGGGCCTGCTTTTTGTGATCAATGTGTAACATAGGAATGGTGTTCAAATGTCATCAGTTATGGTAGACAAAGTCAATTTTTACAAAGATGAGTATGTGTTGAGGAATGTTGATTTTTGAAAGAGTGAAATGCCAATGAACAATTCAAAGGTGTATGGGGAGGGGGCTATCATAATGAAAAATACTGTCTTTCCACAAATGACGGCAATTTTTGAACACCATCACTAAAGACCCAAATGGTATTCCAGCTGGCCATGACAATATTTTTTAGTGACTTATACTTTTATGGAACCATTTATATTTATATATGATATAAACTTTATGTACATGTATATTGGTACTATCTCTAGCTTTAGTAATTGACTGGGCCTCCTGTAAATCATGTTTGAATCACACATGCAATTATCACAAATCATGATGAATTGCCTTTTCATTTCTTATGTTCTTGATTTTTAATGGTAGAATTATTTTATGGAATATGCAATATTTATGAATCCAAACCATTCGCAGATTTAGATGAAATTAGCATTTTATACAGAAAATTAAGATTGTTAAAAGATGCATATGTACACATGTATGATTTCATGTATCGATCAAGTTATATTACCAAAAGCTTTTTAAAAACAGGGTTGCAGATTATGATATTATTTTTAGTATGTACATACAGGACATATACATATGCTGAATATCACGTTTAATTATTGTAGCTTTTAAAAATTGTTGAGGGCAAATTGTAATTGGTCAGAATAGAATAATTGTCCAAACCATCCAATCATTAACATTTTACAAAAATGGACTGTTATTAACTGCTTTTTCCCAAATATTTTGAAATTCATCAATTTTACCAGAAATTAGAATAGATATTTACTGGCCTTTGTGAACTCTAATTGATCTGCCAACCTATTCCAGTTCATGTCAAATAAAATATGTTTTTGAAAATATGAATGACTTTTCAGATTCTATTCAGGTTCCATGTCAGTCCGAATTTGAAGCATCTGTATTACATGGGACTATATTTTAAATTACATGGGACTATATTAAGACTTCATTTGAAACATGGGACTACATATATTTTAAATTACATGGGATCATATTTGAAATTACATGGGACTATATTGGGACTATATTTTAAATTACATGGGACTATATTGGGACTATATTTTAGATTGCATGGGATTATATTTTAAATTAAACAGGACTATATGAAATATATTTTAAATATTGCCCATCAATCAATTAATACTAGACAATCATTTTGTATACACTTAAAGAGCATATCATACACTACAGTACTATAGTATATTTTATAGTGTATTTAATATAGGTATTTAATATACTAGTACATGTACTTTTTTTCGAATTTGTCAAATATATATACATGAACATGTATAAAATATTGTTATTGATAAATATATTTTATTCCAAATATTTAGAGGTTATGTCACTATGACGTGAAATATGCCTGAGTTCTCCCAATATAGGCCGACCTTGGGAGGCTCTATATTTGGGCAAGAACGAAGGCATATTTCATGTCATAGTGACATAACTGATGTATTACATGCCTTTGTTCCCATGGTTACTTTGTATCAATGATGTGACGTCATGATATTATCATGGTTATTAAAGAAATCTAATATCAAAACGAGGTAAGCGGGCTATATCGGGGTAATCGGGCAATATCGGTGGATATAGCTCGCTAACTTTCCCATTGACTTCCATACAAATGCTTCGCTAGGTATGTAATACATCTAAATATCACATGCAGTAGTTGTCAGTATATGAATTTACTACATAAAATGTTATGAAATTAACTACAAGAGTTGGGTCAATTATCAATATCCTGCAAAAATGGTCTCACTTTAATTTTAATTAAGTTATTCCCTTCTTTCTTCCTTAAAAGGAAACGTATTGTTGATTTGGAACATGAGTTAACAATTGGTGAAAGTATGCCCCACTCTTCAAAAGTTTTGTTTGAAGATTTGATTTTCAGGAAAACTACAGACTGCAGAGAGACACTTGATATCAATACTAGCACAAAATGAATTGAGTTCTTATTCTCTGTCCACAATGAAAACAGTTATGTTTTTGTCAGAAATTGATCTTTGACCCAATCTCTTACCTTGACAACAATCCAATTTGCAATTTTATAGATTAAAGTCAAGGGGCTGACCATTAGGCTGTGTATAATGTAGTGTTCTAGCACATGTATGAAAAAAAATTCAGTATATGGTACAATAGCTAGCCCCCAATAACTAATGGTTGGTCCCTGACACACGAAGTAATAAAAACTATGGATAACACATACCATGTAAACTGCAAAAAAAGTTACAAAAAGCTGTGATTAAAACTGTGATAAAGAAATAAACAATGTGAATTATAGAATAGAGTTATTTATTAGAATTATTAGAAAAATGTCATTAACATGAATTGAATCAGAAAAGTTGGGGTGAAACATTCAAAAACTTAAAGATCGGTAATAACCAATATAATAGCACCACATTAGGCAAAGATTGAGGCAGTAAAGATTTTAGAGAGTAAAATGTTTGCAGTGTCCCAATGTTTTCTATTCAATTTTAATTTTATAATCTGGAAAAGATAATTGAGATTTATAAACAAATATTAAGAATTCATATTAGGTATGTCCAAATTAGGTATGTCTCAAAAGTATTCACGAATCTTAAAATGAAAGTATATCATGGAAGAAAATCAGAACTGTTGGACTTTCTAGAATAGGCGCTTGACAGGAAATCTGCAGCACAAAGAAAATTGTGGAAAATTGAGAACCTTTCTGTCAACTCTATCTGTCTCTACTCTTTGTCCCCCCTTTAAAGTATATTAAATCAATACGGACTGCATTTTATGTCACCATCACAAGTTATAACATATTGTTATAGTCTCCAACTATTTTCTGGATTGCTTTTGGTGGTTAAGTTGGTGTTTGGTGGCTGGTGTTCGATGGTTGGTGGTTGTAACAAATTACAGGTTGTGACATTTTGCCTTGTTCATCTTGGAACTTTATAGCATTTCTTCCCACATTTTAGCACAGATATATGAAAAATATTTGATGTTTCTTGGAGGGTTTATTTTTAGTTTATCTTGTTCTTAATGATAATCTTCTGCTTTCTCATTATATGTGGATCAATATATGAAAATAATACATTATAATATAATATATTTCATACATTTGCATGAGATCCCAGTTTCTCCATTTAAAGTATAACATGAGAAATGTCATATTCATCAATGTACTCCAATGTAATGCTACTGACAAGTGCATAATATCACCTCATATTAATGTTAATGGAGCTTGTTGAGTGGCTACGCAACATGCAATTCATTGAAGACAAGTATGTCTGTACAGTGTACATGTGAGTAAATTAATTGATTAATGTTTCTACTCGACGTCTGTTTCTAAGGTGTTTATAATTCAACTGAAACCGTGTGAATCTAGATCCTTAATCAATCCATTTTTATAATATAGGGTACAGTATATGTTCATCACAGTATCATTTATCTTTTTTGTTGGAAACTTTTGCAATTTTGTCACCCCTATTCCATGACATGTCTGAAACGAGTTTTGATAAACCCAAATTGATGTTATATTGAATTTGGAAAATAATCTTAATAAAGCCGTTGTACATACATAGTGATATTGATTGTAGAAAAACAAAAACGCAATATCATGTGCAACTCTTAAACCCATCACTTATGTATTGATTGTGCAGAGTACTTTGACGCCCATACACCATGCATTCAATGGATAAATGAGGTAAAGGAATTGATTGACATCCTAAGTTGTTTAATGAACATTGTTGTACCTCTACTTGTATGTGTCTTTATTGCACATGAATAAAATACAAATATTGCATTTTTAGTCCATGGGTACTATGCATATTCCGTGTAAATAAAACACATACTATAGATTTGATCAAGTTAAAAATGTACCTGCTCATGACAGTTGACATTGAATGACCATTCGGTTATCTGATCTGGTCATGGGCTAATATATATCTACTGCCTCAACATGAGTCAATATATGGATATTAAAAGCTGGGGTGAGATTAATAATGAGGCATTAACATGCAAAATGTCACCATCTGCCAGTTATAACAGACACGGAACCCCGAACCCTGAATGACCCTAACAAGATCCACAAATAAGTTGGAGACGATATCAATATGTTACCACTTGTGTTGATGACATACAAAGTCATGCAAATCAGAGTTGGAGTTGTATCAAAACAGGTTTTCTAGATTATCCAGAAAATACTTTGTAGATGTTTTAACATTTTCAAAGGACGGACGGATGAACGAACGGACCAGCGGATGGACGCCTGGTTGATCCAATAGGCTCACCGTGTGAGCCAAAAACATCATTCCAATCAGCATTTTCTGAGAGAATATACAT